ATGTTCCCTGCTCTGTGTTCCCTGCTCTGTGTTCCCTACTCTGTGTTCCCTCCTCTATGTTCCCTGCTCTGTGTTCCCTCCTCTATGTTCCCTACTCTGTGTTCCCTTCTCTATGTTCCCTGCTCTGTGTTCCCATCTCTGTGTTCCCTCCTCTATGTTCCCTCCTCTATGTTCCCTACTCTATGTTCCCTGCTCTATGTTCCCTGCTCTATGTTCCCTCCTCTGTGTTCCCTCCTCTATGTTCCCTCCTCTATGTTCCCTACTCTGTGTTCCCTCCTCTATGTTCCCTGCTCTGTGTTCCCTCCTCTATGTACCCTACTCTGTGTTCCCTTCTCTATGTTCCCTGCTCTGTGTTCCCATCTCTGTGTTCCCTCCTCTAGGTTCCCTCCTCTGTGTTCCCTTCTCTATGTTCCCTGCTCTGTGTTCCCTTCTCTGTGTTCCCTCCTCTATGTTCCCTACTCTGTGTTCCCTCCTCTGTGTTCCCTCCTCTATGTTCCCTACTCTGTGTTCCCTACTCTATGTTCCCTGCTCTGTGTTCCCTGCTCTGTGTTCCCTACTCTGTGTTCCCTCCTCTATGTTCCCTGCTCTGTGTTCCCTACTCTGTGTTCCCTACTCTATGTTCCCTGCTCTGTGTTCCCTGCTCTGTGTTCCCTACTCTGTGTTCCCTCCTCTATGTTCCCTGCTCTGTGTTCCCTCCTCTATGTTCCCTACTCTGTGTTCCCTTCTCTATGTTCCCTGCTCTGTGTTCCCATCTCTGTGTTCCCTCCTCTAGGTTCCCTCCTCTGTGTTCCCTTCTCTGTGTTCCCTGCTCTGTGTTCCCTTCTCTGTGTTCCCTCCTCTATGTTCCCTACTCTGTGTTCCCTCCTCTGTGTTCCCTCCTCTATGTTCCCTACTCTGTGTTCCCTACTCTATGTTCCCTGCTCTGTGTTCCCTGCTCTGTGTTCCCTACTCTGTGTTCCCTCCTCTGTGTTCCCTCCTCTATGTTCCCTGCTCTATGTTCCCTGCTCTATGTTCCCTGCTCTGTGTTCCCTACTCTGTGTTCCCTGCTCTATGTTCCCTCCTCTGTGTTCCCTCCTCTATGTTCCCTGCTCTATGTTCCCTGCTCTATGTTCCCTGCTCTGTGTTCCCTCCTCTATGTTCCCTGCTCTATGTTCCCTGCTCTGTGTTCCCTACTCTGTGTTCCCTCCTCTGTGTTCCCTCCTCTGTGTTCCCTTCTCTATGTTCCCTCCTCTGTGTTCCCTGCTCTATGTTCCCTCCTCTGTGTTCCCTCCTCTGTGTTCCCTGCTCTATGTTCCCTGCTCTATGTTCCCTCCTCTGTGTTCCCTGCTCTATGTTCCCTCCTCTGTGTTCCCTCCTCTGTGTTCCCTGCTCTATGTTCCCTGCTCTATGTTCCCTCCTCTATGTTCCCTGCTCTATGTTCCCTGCTCTGTGTTCCCTCCTCTATGTTCCCTCCTCTGTGTTCCCTGCTCTATGTTCCCTCCTCTATGTTCCCTGCTCTATGTTCCCTACTCTATGTTCCCTGCTCTATGTTCCCTGCTCTGTGTTCCCTACTCTGTGTTCCCTGCTCCATGTTCCCTGCTCTGTGTTCCCTCCTCTGTGTTCCCTCCTCTGTGTTCCCTGCTCTATGTTCCCTACTCTATGTTCCCGCCTCTGTGTTCCCTGCTCTGTGTTCCCTGCTCTATGTTCCCTGCTCTGTGTTCCCTGCTCTATGTTCCCTGCTCTATGTTCCCTCCTCTGTGTTCCCTCCTCTGTGTTCCCTGCTCTATGTTCCCTACTCTATGTTCCCGCCTCTGTGTTCCCTGCTCTGTGTTCCCTGCTCTATGTTCCCTGCTCTATGTTCCCTCCTCTGTGTTCCCTGCTCTATGTTCCCTACTCTATGTTCCCTGCTCTATGTTCCCTGTTCTGTGTTCCCTACTCTGTGTTCCCTGCTCTATGTTCCCTCCTCTGTGTTCCCTCCTCTATGTTCCCTGCTCTATGTTCCCTGCTCTGTGTTCCCTCCTCTATGTTCCCTACTCTATGTTCCCTGCTCTATGTTCCCTGCTCTGTGTTCCCTACTCTGTGTTCCCTCCTCTGTGTTCCCTCCTCTGTGTTCCCTTCTCTATGTTCCCTCCTCTGTGTTCCCTGCTCTATGTTCCCTCCTCTGTGTTCCCTCCTCTTTGTTCCCTGCTCTATGTTCCCTGCTCTATGTTCCCTCCTCTGTGTTCCCTGCTCTATGTTCCCTCCTCTATGTTCCCTGCTCTATGTTCCCTGCTCTGTGTTCCCTCCTCTATGTTCCCTCCTCTGTGTTCCCTGCTCTATGTTCCCTCCTCTGTGTTCCCTGCTCTATGTTTCCCTGCTCTATGTTCCCTCCTCTATGTTCCCTGCTCTATGTTCCCTGCTCTATGTTCCCTGCTCTGTGTTCCCTACTCTGTGTTCCCTGCTCTATGTTCCCTGCTCTGTGTTCCCTCCTCTGTGTTCCCTCCTCTGTGTTCCCTGCTCTATGTTCCCTACTCTATGTTCCCTCCTCTGTGTTCCCTCCTCTGTGTTCCCTGCTCTATGTTCCCTGCTCTGTGTTCCCTGCTCTATGTTCCCTACTCTATGTTCCCTCCTCTGTGTTCCCTGCTCTGTGTTCCCTCCTCTATGTTCCCTGCTCTATGTTCCCTGCTCTGTGTTCCCTCCTCTATGTTCCCTACTCTATGTTCCCTGCTCTATGTTCCCTCCTCTATGTTCCCTCCTCTATGTTCCCTACTCTATGTTCCCTCCTCTATGTTCCCTCCTCTATGTTCCCTACTCTATGTTCCCTGCTCTATGTTCCCTGCTCTATGTTCCCTCCTCTGTGTTCCCTCCTCTATGTTCCCTCCTCTATGTTCCCTACTCTGTGTTCCCTCCTCTATGTTCCCTGCTCTGTGTTCCCTCCTCTATGTACCCTACTCTGTGTTCCCTTCTCTATGTTCCCTGCTCTGTGTTCCCATCTCTGTGTTCCCTCCTCTAGGTTCCCTCCTCTGTGTTCCCTTCTCTACAGATCAGGTCTAAAGAAAGACTAAAGCAGGACTAAAGCAGGTCTAAACAGGACCTAAAGCAGGTCTAAACAGGACTAAAGCAGGACTAAAGCAGGACTAAAGCAGGTCTAAACAGGACTAAAGCAGGACTAAAGCAGGACTAAAGCAGTACTAAAGCAGGACCAAAGCAGGTCTAAAGCAGGACCAAAGCAGGACCAAAGCAGGACCAAAGCAGGACCAAAGCAGGACCAAAGCAGGACTAAAGCAGGACTAAAGCAGGACCAAAGCAGGACCAAAGCAGGACCAAAGCAGGACTAAAGCAGGACTAAAGCAGGTCTAAAGCAGGACTAAAGCAGGTCTAAACAGGACTAAAGCAGGACTAAAGCAGGACTAAAGCAGGTCTAAAGCAGGACTAAAGCAGGTCTAAAGCAGGTCTAAAGCAGGTCTAAAGCAGAACACGGAGAGAGATCCCAGTTCACGCCCTGTCGGGACTCTTCGGCTCATGTCGTCACTTTCTGACGCCTGGAGCTACCTTTGAGCATGTGTTAAAGTTATGCAGTGTTTTCAGAACTCACCTTCGTCGTCATTTCGTAAAAAGTTGAGCAAAAAGTGTGAAAAGTTGAAGCGAAGCGCGATGAGCGAGTGTTTCCGGAGACACACGAGTGGAGCCGAAGATTCCCGAAGCGGAGACTGAAGCAGGAGCGGTGTGTGTCAGACCACGCCCCCACTGCAGCGAGGCCACGCCCAATGTAGCAAGGCCCCGCCCAATTCGGCCACACCTGTGAAGCAACTGTTGGGGAACCTCGGTGTGTTGTTTGGACCCGTGTCGGCTGTTCACCACGAGGAAGACAGGAACTTGTCCAAACAAAAGTGACAGTGACAGTCTCATACAGGATTGACTCTAGATCTGCTTTAGACCTGCTTTAGTCCTGTGTTAGTCCTGCTTTAGACCTGTTTTAGTCCTGCTTTAGACCTGCTTTAGTCCTGCTTTAGACCTGCTTTAGACCTGCTTTAGTCCTGATTTAGTTCTGCTTTAGACCTGTTTTAGTCCTGCTTTAGTCCTGTTTTAGTCCTGCTTTAGTCCTGCGTTAGACCTGCTTTAGACCTGTTTTTGTCCTGCTTTAGTCCTGCTTTAGACCTGCTTTTGTCCTGCTTTAGACCTGCTTTAGATCTGTTTTAGTCCTGCTTTTGTCCTGCTTTAGACCTGCTTTAGACCTGCTTTAGACCTGCTTTTGTCCTGCTTTTGTCCTGCTTTAAACCTGCTTTAGTCCTGCTTTAGACCTGCTTTAGTCCTGCTTTAGTTCCAGGCCTGGTTTACATTAGCAGGTCAGAGGTGAGTCTCAGAGGAATTCCCAGAATGCAGTGTGGACAGGTGACAACAGGTGAGGAAACCTGACTCCAGACCTGAGGCATTTTACACCAAAATCCAGGGTCCCGGTTCGGTGCTTGTTTGGACCCGGTTTGGTCCTGATTCAGTCCTGGTGTAGACCAGGTTCGGTGCTGGTTTGGACGCGGTTTGGTTCTGATTTAGACCTGGTTCAGTCCTGGTTCGGTGCTGGTTTAGACCAGGTTTAGACCTGGTTCAGGCCTAGTTCAGTCCTGGTGTAGACCTGGTCCAATCCTGGTTCAGTCCTGGTTTAGACCTGGCTCAGTAGTGGCTCAGTCCTGGTTTAGTCCTGGTTTAGTCCTGGCTCAGTCCTGGTTTAGTTCTGGTTTAGTCCTGGTTTAGACTTGGTTTAGACCTGGTTTAGACTTGGTTTAGACCTGGTTTAGTCCTGGTTTAGACCTAGCTCAGTACTGGTTCGGTCCTGGTTTAGTCCTAGTTCGGTCCAGCAGAGGGCGCTCGAGCCGCTTTAGTTGTTTGTTGGCGTTATTTATGGATGTTTTAAAACGGTTCGTCCCCATGGCAACCACTCTGTTATCACCATGGCAACTTCTCTGTTCTCGCCCTTTCCCTCGGAGGAAGACAAACTGAGGAAGAATCGTGTTTAAAAAGTGTTTTTAAGGTTCAGTTTGGTGAAAATGAGGGAAGTACGCGGGGACCAGAGTCTGCGCTGGCCTCAGAGCAGTAAGTGTGTTTTTAATCAAGTAAAAGATAAAAAAAAAAAATGACAAATGAGGAGCTAGCTCTGGCTAACGTTAGCTAACTTCAGTCTGTCACAGCTGGTGTTAGGGTTAGAGTGATTAGTTTATATTCTGCTTTTAATAACTCACAGGTGTTTGATCATGTGTTAGAAATGTGTTAAAAGTGACGTTAGGTTAAAGCTGCAACGGTTGAGACGCTGCCTGCGTGTTACCATGGAGACCATCACATGGTCCGCCCTGGTTTGTCCCGGTTTGTCCTGGTCCGGGCCTGGTTTGTCCTGATTTGTCCTGGTTTGTCCTGGTTTGGTTCTAGTTTGGACAGTTTTTTACATTTATTTTTGGTTTTCAGTTTGGCGCCTGTTCGGGATTCCTTCACCTGTCAATCATCTGTTCGCCGAATCAGAGGGACCGAAGAGGCACGTGCTCCGAGCTCTGCTGGGGGCCATCCCCGGAGCAGGTAGCGCCCACATTAGACCTGCTGTAGACCTGCTGTAGACCTGCTGTAGACCTGCTGTAGACCTGCTGTAGACCTGCTGTGCTTTAGACCTGCTTTAGACCTGCTTTAGTCCTGCTTTAGTCCTGCTTTAGTCCTGCTTTAGACCTGCTATAGGAGCCAAATGTGTTTTTCTTTGCGTAATTGGTCTTTGTGTCCATGAGGGGGCGCATTCATCTTTTATATGAATCATGAGCGCAGGGTTGAGTGCAGGTGTGACCCAGAAGGGCAAATTGGTTTTTGACCGCACAAGCGGAGTTTGTTTTTCACTGTTTCTCGTGTGATACCACTGTGGATCCTTTTAATAGCACTGTTAAATAAATGAAGATTATTGCATCGTACCCTTTGAAGACTTGGAGGATTTTATTGAGCACAACAGAGCAACCACAGCATAGCCGCTTAGCGCGTCATCAACAAGCCTGGGTCTACAGCCTCACACTAGCAGCATTGGGCTGGCTAGTATACCTGCTTTAGACCTGCTTTAGACCTGCTTTAGACCTGCTTTAGTCCTGCTTTAGACCTGCTTTAGACCTGCTTTAGACCTGCTTTAGACCTGCTTTAGTCCTGCTTTAGACCTGCTTTAGACCTGCTTTAGTCCTGCTTTAGACCTGCTTTAGACCTGCTTTAGTCCTGCTTTAGACCTGCTTTAGACCTGCTTTAGTCCTGCTTTAGACCTGCTTTAAACCTGCTTTAGACCTGCTTTAGACCTGCTTTAGTCCTGCTTTAGACCTGCTTTAGACCTGCTTTAGACCTGCTCATGGAGTACTCTCTTTCTCTCAGTTTTCTTCATAGTTCTGTTTCATGATCGTCCTTTGAGTTTCGAGCTGAGGCTGTCGGCCGGACTCCTCTGCAGCGGTGAGACACAGACACTTGGGGTCTGTGACTTTAAAGCTGGGGTCTGTGACTTTAAAGCTGGGGTCTGTAACTTTAAAGCTGGGGTCTGTGACTTTAAAGCTGGGGTCTGTGACTTTAAAGCTGGGGTCTGTGACTTTAAAGCTGGGGTCTGTGACTTTAAAGCTGGGGTCTGTGACTTTGGTGTGTGCAGTGAGAGGGGCTTACAGATGTGTTACAGGTGTGTGTGCAGTGGGAGGGGCTTACACATGTGTTACAGGTGTGTGTGCAGTGGGAGGGGCTTACACATGTGTTACAGGTGTGTGTGCAGTGGGAGGGGCTTACATATGTGTTACAGGTGTGTGTGCAGTGGGAGGGGCTTGCTCGTCCTTCTTCAGGTGTTCTCTCCTCCTCACGTTTCCCATGATGCTCGGCTCCAGAGGTCAAACGTACGTCCTGTTGCTGCTGCTGTCGCTGCTCTACTCAGGTACAACCTACAGCTCTGAAACACAGCTCTGAAACACAGCTCTGAAACACAGCTCTGTCCCTGTGCTCTGTCCCTGTGTGTTCAGGTCCAGTGCAGAACATCCGTCAGAACGTAGAGGCCTCTGCTCTGAGTTTGTCCTGTAACCTGGACCTCCAGCTGAACCTGAGCCACCTCCTGTGGAGACAAGCTGTAGATCCAGTGTCCAGGCTCACCCACGAGCTGATGGTGTGTGTTCTCTGTCCCTGTATGCTGTCCCTGTGCTCTGTCCCTGAACTCTTGTCACTCTTATACCTGTACTCTTGTACCTGTGCTCTTGTCCCTGTACTCTTGTCACTCTGGTCTCTGTACTCTTGTCACTCTTGTCCCTGTGCTCTTGTGCCTGTGCTCTTGTCCCTGTGCTCTTGTCACTCTTGTCCCTATACTCACAGATCAGCACGACAGACTTGGGGGCGGAGACTCTGAACATCAGCTCCACGTTCCAGACCTTCAGACAGGAAGTGATGCGTCAGTACGGAGCCGAGCCGTTAGCTGCCGATGCTAACCAGGCTAACGACACACTGACTACAAGGACCATGATGCAGTGTGAAGGTCCTCCCCCAAAGCTTTTGAGCATATGTTAAGTCTGTGATTGGACACAGCTGATGTGTTTCTACTCTCTGATTGGCAGACGTGGTGCAGGGGGCGGTGCTGCGCTGCTCTGATTGGTTCAATGGGAAGTGGGCGGAGTGTCTGTCCACCGTGTCTGTCCCGGTCCTGAACCAGCTACTGTGTTTCCCCATGAAGTTCAGCTTCCTATGCGACATCCAGAGAGGTGAATCCAGAGTCAGCTCTAATCCTCCAGAGTGGCCTCTAATCCTCTTCTCTCTCCTCTCCCTTCTCTCTCTCTTCTCTCCTCCCTTTCCTCCTCTCTCTCTTCTCTCCTCCCTTTCCTCTCTCCTCTTTCTCCTCCCTTTCCTCTCTCCTCTTTCTCCTCCCTTTCCTCTCTCCTCCCTCCTCTCTCTGCTCTCTCTCTTCTCTCTCTCTTCTCTCTCTCCTCTCTCTCCTCCCTCCTCCCTTTCCTCTTTCGTCTCTCCCCCCTCCTCTCTCTCCTCTCTCTACCCCCTCCTCTCTCTCCTCTCTCTCCCCCCTCCTCTCTCTCCTCTCTCTCCCCCCTCCTCTCTCTCCTCTCTCTACCCCCTCCTCTCACTCCTCTCTCTCCTCTCACTCCTCTCCTCTCTCGCTCCTCAGTGATGACTCCCTGGTGCACACAGCGCCTCCCTGTGGACACAGACTCAGGACGTCAGTGGGAACAGCTGAACCGAACTATGGATCTGTTCAGGAAGGAGTTCATAGCCAGCGTCCAGCTACAGGTCAGGGGTCAGAGCCAGTGTCCAACTACAGGTCAGGGGTCAGAGCCAGTGTCCAACTACAGGTCAGGGGTCAGAGCCAGTGTCCAACTACAGGTCAGGGGTCAGAGCCAGTGTCCAACTACAGGTCAGGGGTCAGAGCCAGTGTCCAACTACAGGTCAGGGGTTAGAGCCAGCGTCCAGCTACAGGTCAGAGGTCAGGGGTCAGAGCCAGTGTCCAACTATAGGTCAGGGGTCAGAGCCAGCGTCCAGCTACAGGTCAGGGGTCAGAGCCAGTGTCCAACTACAGGTCAGGGGTCAGAGCCAGTGTCCAACTACAGGTCAGGGGTCAGAGCCAGTGTCCAACTACAGGTCAGGGGTTAGAGCCAGCTACAGGTCAGAGGTCAGGGTCAGAGCCAGTGTCCAGCTACAGGTCAGGGGTCAGAGCCAGCGTCCAGCTACAGGTCAGGGATCAGGGGTCAGAGCCAGCGTCCAGCTACAGGTCAGGGGTAAGAGGTCAGAGCCAGCGTCCAGCTACAGGTCAGAAGTCAGGGGTCACAGCCAGCGTCCAGCTACAGGTCAGGGGTCAGAGCCAGCGTCCAGCTACAGGTCAGAGGTCAGGGGTCAGAGCCAGCGTCCAGCTACAGGTCAGAGCCAGCGTCCAGCTACATGTCAGAGGTCAGGGGTCAGAGCCAGTGTCCAGCTACAGGTCAGGGGTCAGAGCCAGCGTCCAGCTACAGGTCAGGGGTCAGAGGTCAGAGCCAGTGTCCAGCTACAGGTCAGAGGTCAGGAGTCAGAGCAGAGAGGTCCAGTCTATCACCTGGAACAGTCCAGTTTCAGGTGATAGACTCTCATGTCTCTGTGATCACAGGAGGAGCAGCAGGAGGTCCTGGATGGTCCGGTTCTGGACCAGGTCTTTACTGATGCAGTTCAGGACTCACTTCTCAGACTCAGTTCTGGATCTGAGGTCCTCATGGAACTTCTGCAAATCGCCAAGTCCTTCACCTTCATCAGCATCATCTTCCAGTAAGACCCTTTTAGACCTGAGAGAATTACCCTACGCTTTTGTGTGCCGTCTTCTTGCCTCTCAAAAACGGCTTTACAGGATTCTCCAAAAGTGTGTCTTGGTCTAAAAGTGTGTCTTGGTCCAAAAGTGTGTCTTGGTCCTCTTGGTTCCAGATGCTGTCTGAAGGTGTTTTTGGACCAGTCTAGTTTAGTCACTGTGGACTTTTGAATGCACTCTAATGCAGCTAACACACAAATGTTTTTTCAACATTTTCCTGAGGGAGGGACTGCCCCTGGAAATTTTGAAAACAGCCACAGAAGGCCAAAGTGATGTCGCATTAGGTTCAACAGTGGAGACTGACATGACTTTGTCTGTTAATATTTACAGTCTATGGTTCAGACCAGTTTCAGATCGGGGTTAGACCTAAGGACTGAGGCTGTAGACCCAGGACTGAGGCTGTAGACCCAGGACTGAGGCTGTAGACCCAGGACTGAGGCTGTAGTCCCTGGACTGTTTCAGAACTGGCATTGGTCTTTCTCTCAGGGCGGTCTTATACCTGGTCCGGTTCAGAAGCGACTTGAGATTCGACAACGTTTACATCACAGAGAAATTCAGACACATCGAGACGAGACGAACAAGACAGGTCTATACACACGCACACACACACACGCGCACGCACACGCACACACACACGCGCACACACACAGACGCACACAGAGACACACACACCCAGAAACACACACACTGACCTAGACTCTGTCCTCAGAGGAGGCGTGGCGTGTTCCCTCTCTCAGAAATGGACCAAAGAAACTTCATCCAGCCCTGCAGCGCAAGGATCCACCCCCAGGAGGCGCCACCACTTGTAAACAAGTTGTCTTAGTGCCACTTTAGACCTGCTTTAGTCCTGCTTTAGTCCTGCTTTAGTCCTGCTTTAGTCCTGCTTTAGTCCTGCTTTAGTCCTGCTTTAGACCTGCTTTAGCCCTGCTTTAGACCTGCTTTAGTCCTAACTTAGACCTGATTTAGTCCTGCTTTAGTCCTGCTTTAGTCCTGCTTTAGTCCTGCTTTAGTCCTGCTTTAGACCTGCTTTAGACCTGCTAGTCCTGGTTTAGCCCTGCTTTAGTCCTGGTTTAGTCCTAACTTAGACCTGATTTAGTCCTGCTTTTTATCTGGTTCAGACCTGCTTCTCTGCTTTGGTCTGGTTTTAGGTCTCTGGTCTGGTCCAGTCAGTCTCAGTTCTAGTCTTGGTTCTGGTCCTGGTGAGTCTGGACCTGGTTCTGTCCCAAGTCCTGCAAATTGTGGGACACAACAGCATCACACAGCTCAACATAACAGGTACTACTACTGCTACTGCTACTACTACTGCAGGTACTACTACTGCAGGTGGTACTACTACTGCAGGTGCTACTACAACTGCAGGTACTACTACTGCAGGTACTACTACTGCAGGTACTACTACTGCTACTACAACTGCAGGTACTACTACTGCAGGTACTACTACTGCAGTCTCTGTTATTTATTTTTTCTCCTTTTACTCCACCCTTTAAATCATCCTCAGGTTTTCACCAGGTGCAAATGGAAGTGGTCGGAGATTCACTTATGGCCCGCCTCCTCAGGAAGACAGTCTCAGTCTTCAATAGCTCCGCCCACTTTGACATCGACAGCAGCAACAGAAGTGAGTGTTACAACCAGTGGGGGCGGGTCCGGCTCAAAAGTGGCCAAAATGACGTGCACTGACATGCTGCAATTGACCAGATGCATTGACGTCATCCAGTCACGTGATTGTACATGAGCTTACGGCGGAAGTAGTGGAAACTAGCATTAGCATTAGCATTGCGGAGAGAGCAAAACGGACACAACTCTTAAAAACTGAGACTCCTTAATCGAGAAGTGGCTTCTTCAAGCACATGTTTGATAACGTTATCGGTGACAGTAGGACATCAGGTCAGGGCTCACAAAGAGCAGTATTTGGAGAAGTTAAGGGTCTCTGAGCTGGATGTTGACCCGAACCTTCTCCCACAGTCCAAGTTTATCAATTAAATTAAATGTCTAATTTTGCAGAATCCACCCCACATGATCTTTATCAGTATGTTGTTAACAATGCATCTCCTCACACTGGAGCTGATTTATATGTTAATTGTGCTAGTAGCATTAGCACATTAGCATTAGCACATTAGCTTTAGCACACTAGCATTAGCACATTAGCAATGCACTTTTCTGTCTACAGCCAAACATGATAAATATTGATGGGGAGGAAAATGGTGAAAAACGCAACTTACGTCTAAGATAAGAGATCTTTGATTTGTGCCACAGTGAGGAAAATTCAGTGTTGCAACGCACAGACAGGACAGTAGTAAGAGACACGTTTGACTTTAAAGACCTTATGACGGGTTTGATTTATTTAGAAATGCAGTTTTAATACCATTTTATATTAGAAGAGAACTACTAAAGGTTTCAAAATCAGTTGTTGTTTTTTTTGTCTGATCCCCCCAAATCGAAATAACCCCATAGCAACGCCCTTAGAAACGAAAAAACTTCACAGCCCTTGGTGACGTCAGAACGGGTACGTTTCAATGCTGTAAGTTGTTTACAATTTGGTATTCGTTCTTTTTTTGTGGATATTCAAGATGACAAGGCCGTGTACAGCGAGTCTAAGATAACTACTAGAATGTATCATTTTGTTGTCACTGAGATAGTTCAGTGGTTGTGTTGATGGACTGCCAATCCAGATACTTGGGTTCAAATCCCACCTCGGACACTTTTTCACACTCAAAACGGCAATTTATGTGTAGTGAGCAATTGTCACCTGTAGAGGGCAGTATTGTGTTGGGCATCAGTGGAGAGAAGAGAGAAAAGGCAGTCCTGTGGCATAGATCCATGGTTTTCAATGCATAGGCGTAACCCGCTATGGCGTCACACACAGGTTAGAGCATAGACAACTTAAATTCATGAAAAACACGTTCTTTTTATAAAATATAGGATTTTTTTTGCCGGAATCTCTTTCAAATTGACATTGTCATGCAATTTTGATATCCACTATTTTTTTAAAAAAACCCGTCATAAGGTCTTTAAGCGTTTGTCCTCCAAATACATTTATGGAAAGAAAATAAATAAAATTGTAATTGATTACAAACCTTGTAAAAAGTGTTCACTGCATATAAGGGAGTACTTGGATGGCTCCCAGTCATGGATCTATTATAATAACCCGGAGGAAACCTACGCAGACATGAATAACTCATGTGCTCGAGGGATTCTCTCGGCACTTCAGACTGAACCAGACTAAATTCAGAAATTTTCCCCATAGAACTCAATGTAAACCAAAACAGCTCAACCTCAGCTGACAGAGAACCTGACAGAGAACCTGACAGAGAACCTGACAGAGAACCTGACAGAGAACCTGACAGAGAACCTGACAGAGAACCTGACAGAGAACCTGACAGAGAACCTGACAGAGAACCTGACAGAGAACCTGACAGAGAACCTGACAGAGAACCTGACAGAGAACCTGACAGAGAACCTGACAGAGAACCTGACAGAGAACCTGACAGAGAACCTGACAGAGAACCTACAGCTTTAATAAAGATAGGATTTTGTGGGGATTTTAGTGTCCCTTGTCGTCCTGAACTTTTTTTCTTCTTAAATCCTTCGGTTTTGTTTAAATCCACACTTTAGTGCCACAAACTCTGCTCCTCTGGCTCTCGCTCTAACTCCCGCTCTGATGAACTGCTCTGATTGGTCAGAGCGCGGCCGAGCCCCTCTGTGCACGTGCGTGAGACCCGGTGTGAGACCCACATACGCGTGTTTGGTGCAATGCATTATGGGAGATCATCCACTGCACAGAACCGGGAGGACCAGACGATGCCCAAATACAGGCGAAGTTCAGACGACTTCCGCTAATCTTTCAGCCCTACCTATTCATGCCTAAACTTAACCATCTTACTCAGACCACCTTAACCCTAACCTTAACCATCTTACTCAGACCACCTTAACCCTAACCTTAACCATCTTACTCAGACCACCTTAACCCTAACCTTAACCATCTTACTCAGACCCACCTTAACCCTAACCTTAACCATCTTACTCAGACCACCTTAACCCTAACCATAACCATCTTACTCAGACCACCTTAACCCTAACCTTAACCATCTTACTCAGACCCACCTTAACCCTAACCTTAACCATCTTACTCAGACCCACCTTAACCCTAACCTTAACCATCTTACTCAGACCACCTTAACCCTAACCATAACCATCTTACTCAGACCACCTTAACCATAACCATCTTACTCAGACCACCTTAACCCTAACCTTAACCATCTTACTCAGACCACCTTAACCCTAACCTTAACCATCTTACTCAGACCACCTTAACCATCTTACTCAGACCACCTTAACCCTAACCTTAACCATCTTACTCAGACCACCTTAACCCTAACCTTAACCATCTTACTCAGACCACCTTAACCCACTTTTTTTGCTTTTGAATTCTATAAACTGTAACAAAAAAGTATTCAGTGTAAATAAATTCAATGTTTTAAAATTCAGTGTTAAAATATTCAATGTTTTAAAATTCAGTGTCTAAAAAATCAATGTTTTAAAAATCAGTGTCAAAAAATTCAATGTTTTAAAATTCAGTGTTAAAATATTCAGTGTTAAAATATTCAATGTTTTAAAATTCAGTGTCTAAAAATTCAATGTTTTAAAATTCAGTGTCAAAAAATTCAATGTTGAAAAAAATTTAGTGTCCAAAAATTCGTAGCATTTTTTCCCGGGTAAATCAAGAACAAAGCAATCGATCAGCCAATCCTCCATAGATGTAGCCAGGGCCAGAACACGACTTTGGCTTTATCTGAATGTCCACACTATACCGTGTGGGACTATTGTGAGTGACTGAGTGGACTCATTCTGATGGTGATTCGGACGCTGCACACTATTATCAGGCCGTGCTGTTGTACGTGAGCGTCCCGCTGTAGCGTGGATCACAGAGCGGAGAGAGGAGCGGCCATGACAAGGTAATGGTAAATGTTGAATTTACGTTTTAATTAGGACATAACATTTAATTGTTACAGTGGCTCAGTTGGTAGAGCATCGACCTTCAGGCCTGAAGGTCGTGGGTTCAATTCCCACCTCCACACCTTCTCCACCGACTCCCACTGATGTCTGCTGTCGTTGTGTCCTTGGGCAAGACACTTAACCCCACTTTGCCCAAAGCCCCCACTGAAAGATCAAGGCTATGCTCACAGTCAGAGAGCAGCCGTCCTCCTGTGGACTCACCACCTGCAGAGGGTCAGTGAGGGGCTGGTGCTATGAGACTTGGGTGGCATCTCTGACTGCCACCCCCCTGACCCAGAAATAGATTAAAGGGTAGAAAATGGATGGATGGATGGATGGCATTTAATTGTATTAACATTGGAGGTGGGAAATAGCCCCTTCTATTGTTATATCAGAGGTCTGTTTGGTGATTAAACAGATTTTCTCCAGCCTTGAGCTCCAATGCTAACACGCTAACCACGGGTGTAGAGCTGCGCTGATGCCCAGAATGGAGCGTCATGCCCTGGGAGTCATTTTGAGAGCTCCCTTATGCTAACAGTCTTAACTGTGGAAGTAATTATGAAAACCCAAAAAGGCGGCTTTTGTATCATACTTTCTCTGTTATAACAATTGTTTTAAGAGTAATCATTAGTCTTAAAAATGTGATATTTCATGTAAATAATGCATGTGTTTAGTGCGATTGATGGATTTGCTATGGCCCTCGTTTGTGCATCACTTTGTTGTAAAGTAATTTGTATTAAGTACAAACGTGATTATGTGCATTTACTGATGACAGGGGGACATCTGTGAACATGAAGCTGGACACAGACCCGTGGACTTGAACAGACCAGATTTAAGGTCATGAGTACTTACTTTTTGTGCTCAAGCTCCTCTTGAAATCCAACAGACCTGATCATGTCAGAGTTAATGGCTTAAATGTATTTAAGATTAGAAGTACTTAAATAAAAGCTATGAAACATGTTTCTCACGGATTGTGTGGTTGGATAAAACAAATGCATACATCACTTTTCATTGCACACAAAGAACTAAATCATAATTATTTTATTCCAGGTTGTGATGAGTCCACCGTAGAAAAGACAGTCAGAGGCAGACGTCCAGGAACCTGCTGCTACTGCTGTTACTGCTGCTGTTACTGCTGCTGCTGTTGTTACTGCTGCATATGTCTTCAGAAAATGAGATGTGTTCTAACTATCCATGACTTGTAATTAATAAAACAAATGAACATATTGGTGGTTGTAGTTTATATCGTAATCCACAGGAGCTGAAGGTGATGGAAATGGATGAAGAAATGATGCCTCTGGAAGACAGCTGCCTCTGGAAAAGAAATTCACACAAAAAAATCATTAATTTAAACAGACCCGGTTCTTCTGGGATTAAAATGAGCCTTTTGTTACAATCAGACATGTTGACATATATGTTCATATACATGTACTGTCCCAGTCAAATTAATTAATATAAATACACAGTAGAAGAACCAGACGCTCTGAGGAGGAGCAGAAGTACGATGCCTTTACAAACACACACATGAACTTAACATATCAACAGTAAATGTAAATACATGTCCAGTCTTTAACAGGAGGCTGGTAGAGTGGGATTTACAAATATACTCTATTAAATATCTATCAATTAAAACCATATCTATCAGTCTGAGTCCTCTCTGTAGCATTAATATTGAATCCATGGGTTTGTTTTCTCCCTAAAGAACCGATCCTTCATTCCATCTTGGTTTCAGTAAGATGTCAAAAGTTAAGAGTAAAGATAGAATAATTATCGTCTGCTCTGTCTCTAAACAGTCAGCAGGTTTCGTCCTTGCTGCACTGCTAGAATAATATACACATTTTTTGACACTGAATTTTAAAACATCAAATATTTGGACACTGAATTTGAAAACATTGAATTTATTTACACAAAATACTTTTTGTTACAGTTTATAGAATTCAAAAGCAAAAAAAAGTGTTGATAATAAAAACACAAAATAACCTTCATACAAATCCTGCATCGTAAAGAGCCGTGTGAGTAACATTGGTGTATGAACTTTAGGAACTTGTCATTCTCAACAAAACGATGCACCAACATGTGTGCAGTGTTGTTTTCAGGTCAAACATTCACAGTGTTCATCTAAAACGCCAACTTATACCTGAAAGTTCATTAAAATAATTAATAACAGAGCATAGTGACTGCATGGCTGGGTAAATAAATAATCCTTTGATGTAAAAGCGTTTGCAGTGAAATGTTAGCGAGACACTTCTCTGCGTCTTTTCGTAAAGTCCTTAGTGCGAGGCTTTTTATTAATCTCTTCACGAGGAATCCTAAAGTATACTTTATCGGTTTCACGATTCGGTCGCTTAGGAAACCTAAAAAAACACGCTGCTCTAGTGAACGAGCTCGGCTGACCACCACTTCGTGATACGCATACGTAATGAGGCGGACGTGACGTCAATTGAAAGCAAGCAATTAGTTAGAATGGGCGATGTGGAAAAATGCACAGTGAAAACTATTTTCAACGCATCGTACGCCGTGAGTTTGAATGAGTCATATGTTTTCAACAATGAGGAGGATTAAGGCTGTTACCGTGACGACAGCGGACTCTGGGATCAACGGAACCACGTCTGAGATGATAGTTCTGATCAAGAGAAATATGACCATTATTGCCATTTCAGTGATTTGTCGAGCCATAGATAATAAAAAGTTTGGAGGAAGCTCTGCAACTTTAAGCTAAAAGCAGTAAGCTAACTGCAGTAAGCTAACAGCAATAAGCTAACAGCGGGGGCTGCAACAAAAGCAGCCGTCATGGGGCCACAGAGCTCAGATACAACTTCAGACATTACCCTGGTCCTCACAGTCCCAAACCCTGGTCCTCACAGTCCCAAACCCTGGTCACCCTGGTCCTCACAGTCCCAAACCCTGGTCCTCACAGTCCCAAACCCTGGTCCTCACAGTCCCAAACCCTGGTCCTCACAGCCCCTAACCCTGGTCCTCAGTCCCAAACCCTGGTCCTCACAGTCCCAAACCCTGGTCCTCACAGTCCCAAACCCTGGTCCTCACAGCCCCTAACCCTGGTCCTCACAGTCCCAAACCCTGGTCCTCACAGTCCCAAACCCTGGTCCTCACAGTCCCAAACCCTGGTCCTCACAGTCCCAAACCCTGGTCACCCTGGTCCTCACAGTCCCAAACCCTGGTCCTCACAGTCCCAAACCCTGGTCCTCACAGTCCCAGTCCATGGTCCTTAGAGCCCCAGTCGTGGAGATAACGATGAACAATGACTCTTATAACACAATTGTTAGATTATATGTGAGAAGACTTAGATTGTACTTCCTGCTTTTAGCTTTGTTACACATGTACATGTTGGTTTGAGACAACCTTGGGCATTAAAATATGTATTTAACAGTTCATTCTGTTGCCTCGGCTACTACAACCGTATGCCACACAAAAATACTGTATTGTATCTATGAAAGTCAGCGAAGTAAAGACTGCGGACTGTCAGATGTGTCTGCGGGCCGCAGATCCTACGCAGGCTATTGCTAATGCTACGCAGGCTATTGCTAATGCTACGCAGGCTAATGCTAATGCTACCGCATTTCTTCCGTTCCTTATTAGGCATTTTCACTGTGTCCACTTAACAGTTGTGTGGTTGTGCGTGTGTCTGGCGGTTGTGCGTGTGTGTGTCTCAGGGTGCTCAGTGGTCCCCTCCTCTCTCCCTCCCTCTCTGTATCTGAAGTGTTGTGTGTGTGTCCTGATGATGGCGCTGTTCAGCCTGGTCCAGGTTTACAGCAGTCGACTGAGGAGGGTCATCTGTGCCTCCTTCTACCCACAGGTACACAAAAAACACACATACACATGTACAGGTACACACGCGGACACACACTCTAAAGCAGACCCCTCTGTGTTTTCAGAGGGAGAAGATGAGAGTTCGATTCCTGTACAATGTGCTGCTCCAGAGTAACAGGAAGTGCCCCATCTCAAACAGGAAGTGCTCCTCAGACCGCTTGGTATGACACATTCACATCATTTCAGCTGAAGAAGAGCTGATGTAATCCATCCTCTGTAGGTCTGTAGCTGCTGCCAGACAGTAGACGTCCAGTACCAGCCCACATAGTACTGAGGCTGGACCAGGACTCAAACCGTCTTGAATAAAGTGCCTGAGAGTGTCAGTGGAGTTTGTGTGGACAGTGATCCGTGGGTGTTTGATTGGTCAGCCTTTTGGAGATTTACTGTCTAGGAAGTTACCTCAGGGGTCCACACTGGGACCCACAGTCTTCATAACCTGTGGGGTACCTCAGGGGTCCACACTGGGACTCACAGTCTTCATAACCTGTGGGGTACCTCAGGGGTCCTCACTGGGACCCACAGTCTTCATAACCTGTGGGGTACCTCAGGGGTCCACACTGGGACTCAGTCTTCATAACCTGTGGGGTACCTCAGGGGTCCACACTGGGACTCAGTCTTCATAACCTGTGGGGTACCTCAGGGGTCCTCACTGGGACCCACAGTCTTCATAACCTGTGGGGTACCTCAGGGGTCCACACTGGGACCCACAGTCTTCATAACCTGTGGGGTACCTCAGGGGTCCACACTGGGCCCCACAGTCTTCATAACCTGTGGGGTACCTCAGGGGTCCACACTGGGCCCCACAGTCTTCATAACCTGTGGGGTACCTCAGGGGTCCACACTGGGCCCCACAGTCTTCATAACCTGTGGGGTACCTCTGTTTTAGCTCCACTCACACTACGGCCCCACCCCTTCTGTCTAAACAGAGTTTTTGAACTTTGTGATTCCGTGTTATAAAATCAGAGTGTAAAGTCCCCCTGCTCCTCTGTCTCTTTGTTTTTATTAAATGTTTTATGAAACATTCCCCGGGGAGGAGGCCCCGGGGAAGACCTAGGACACGCTGGAGGGACTATGTCTCTCAGCTGGCCTGGGAACGCCTTGGGGTCCCCCCGGACGAGCTGGAGGAAGTGTGTGTGGATAGGGAAGTCTGGGCGTCTCTGCTTAGACTGCTGACCCCGCGACCCGGCAACGGATAAAGCGGAAGAAAATGGATGGATGGATGGAAATGTTTTATGAAATGATACAGTCTCAGATCATTGTAAAGACAGGCCTTCATTTGGTGGACTCTTGGCTGCAGTTCCAGGGTCTGCCACCAGGGTTCAGGTCCTGCAGCCACAGTCCCAGGGCGAACTTGGTCCCAGTGCTGATCCGCTCCAAGTCTGGTCCATGATCCGGAGCGGAGTTTCTGAAGACCGAGACCGGGACCAGGATTTCAGTCAGAGAGCCGTCAGCAGAGACCTCAGAGACCCTGAGAGACAGGTTTGACAAATGTAAACACATGCCATTGCACTGGGTTTCTATGAATGACAGGAATCCTGATTTTGTCCTGCTTTAGTACCAGACTGAGTCCTGGTTGCAGTCCTCTTGGCTCAGCACGGTTCGGATCAGACCAGGATCTGCCCACAAACAGGCGCTGACCTCCACTGCAGACGGACGCAACTCCTCCTGCGGAAACACAAAAGGTCTGGTCTCTCTCTGGTCTCTCTCTGGTTACTCTGGTCTCTGGTACCTGCAGTTCTTCATGGTCCTTCCTGGTCTTCAGGAGGACATAGACAACAATGTGATGTCTTTGGGGAAGGCCTCTGCTCAGCGCCGCAGGAAACACAGACTGAAGCACAGACAGAAGATGGAGCCCCCTGATGGTCAAACCCTTGAACTGCAAGCTCTTCTGCTACATTAGACATAATATCATCCTTCTTACAAACCTCCCAAAGTCCCAGAGTCTGAGTCTGGACCTGCTCTGGGTCCAGACTGAGTCCAGTTTCCTCTTTCAGTTCCCGAAGTCCAGCCTCCAGCACCTACCAAAACCAAAGATCAAGTTTAGACCCAGTCGAGACCAGATTTAGTCCAGAGTCATCCTCACCGTTTCATCTGGTTCAATATGGCCGCCTGCAAACAGAAAACACTGATGTTCAGGATTCACCTGTCACCATACGTGCTAAGCCTACGTGCTAAGCATACGTGCTAACCCTCTGTGCTAACCATACGTGCTAATCCTACGTGCTAACCATACGTGTGAACCATATGTGCTAACCCTTCGTGCGAAGCATACGTGCTAACCCTCTGTGCTAACCGTATGTGCTAATCCTACATGCAAACCCTCCGTGCTAACCCTACCTGCTAACCCTCTGTGCTAACCCTACGTGCTAACCCCACGCACACACACGTTTATGTGCGTTGCGGATCCTCCCTGAATATTGACAGGAATTTTGCACACTTTTGTTAACTCAAGCTAATACATGCTAACTCATGCTAATTCAGACTAATACATGTCAACTCATGCTAATTCATTACTTATTAGGTGCTTAATCATGCTAATTCATTACTTATTAGGTGCTTACTCATGCTAATTCAGACTAATACATGCCAACTCATGCTAATTCATTACTTATTAGGTGCTTAATCATGCTAATTCATTACTTATTAGGTGCTTACTCATGCTAATTCAGACTAATACATGCCAACTCATGCTAATTCATTACTTATTAGGTGCTTACTCATGCTTATTCAAACTAATACGTGCTAACTCATGCTAATTTAGGCTAACACTTGCTAACCTGGAGGGACCCACACGTTGGTGAAGATCCTCAGGGTTTTGGCTCGCCGCGTGAGGAGAAGCCTCTGATTGGATGACTGCAACAGGATAGCCACGCCCACATCTACGCCCCCTTGCGTCATGTCCAATGGGATTGAAGCAGCCTCTGTGACGGACAGGTGCTTCATGGGACAGAAGGGCGCCCTCTGGAGACGAGAGCTATTTCAGTCCTGCTCCTTACCCTCAGTGGGACCCCCTCTGCTCCTTACCCTCAGTGGGACCCCCTCTGGTCTCTGGTACTGGTCCCTAGTCCCTGGTCTCTGGTCTTTAGACAGGATGAACTGGTTTTGCTCCAGTCTGAAGTTCACTTTGACCTCGTCGTCTGTTCCACCGGCCATCAGCCCTACCAGGCTCTGCACAGACCAGACCAGACCGGGATTAAGACCGTGACCAAGACAGTTTTAGACGGGAGACAAAGACGGGACTAAGACGAGACTAAGATTGAGACTAAGGCCCTGTCCACACGAAGTCAAGCTCAGGCCTAAACGCAAAAATACTTTATCAATCCAGTGTATCGTCCATACGAGGCCGGCGTTTTGGGGGGGTGTAAACGAACATTTTTGAAACTAGGTCCCAGAGTGGAAAGATTTCAAAACTCCGTATATGCCGCTCCGTGGTTACTGCCTCTCCGCAATGTATCTGAGACGCTTGCGTCATCGCCCCGCCTCTTGTTAAAGCACGCATGCGCCGCACTCAGAAAATAATGACAACAACAATGTAGCTTGTTGGTTTTGTAATCCAGTGTGACCCGAAGCAACAGTTCAACCTCATCGTCCGTCCATACTAATGTAGTACCAGCTCGCCCACTCGCCATGTTGTCTGTTTACAAAATTCTGCGCATGCCCAGTTCCCGTCACGGAAGTTTGGGCTTGATCCCGTCATTGCGTCACAGCGCCACCAACAGGTCTGGCATAGTTTCACAGCGTTTTCAGGCGTATTGACTACATTCATATGGACGCACACATTTACTGAGCTAACTCCGTGTTTACAGAAAAAGTTTCTGAAATTATACGCGTTTTGTCTTCGTGTGGATATAGCCTAAGACTGGACTAATTGCATTGAGCTAGCAGGTTAGCATTGAGCTAGTGGGTTAGCATTGAGCAAAGCTTGTAAATGGGAACAAATACTTTTGTATGAAACTCATTTGTTTTTTCTGTCTTGACTCTAAATCCTTAATTGACGGTCGCTGGGCGAGTGTGTGCGTACCGCTGTTTGGGAAACATAGGTTTAGTTTAGTTCAAAATTCTGACCTGAAGAAACGGGACTCTGTAAGGACTGGACCGCTCTGAGGCCACGTGGACCAGGACCCTGAGGGACATCTCCAGACCAGCTTCTGACCTGCTTTAGTCCTGCTTTAGTCCTGCTTTAGTCCTGCCTCAGACCTGCTTTAGTCCTGCCTCAGACCTGCTTTAGTCCTGCTTTAGTCCTGCTTTAGACCTGCTTTAGTCCTGCCTCAGACCTGCTTTAGTCCTGCTTTAGACCTGCTTTAGTCCTGCTTTAGTCCTGCTTTAGACCTGCTTTAGTCCTGCTTTAGACCTGCTTTAGTCCTGCTTTAGACCTGCTTTAGTCCTGCTTTAGTCCTGCTTTAGACCTGCTTTAGTCCTGCTTTAGACCTGCTTTAGACCTGCTTTAGTCCTGCTTTAGACCTGCTTTAGTCCTGCTTTAGTCCTGCTTTAGTCCTGCTTTAGACCTGCTTTAGTCCTGCTTTAGTCCTGCTTTAGACCTGCTTTAGTCCTGCTTTAGTCCTGCTTTAGTCCTGCTTTAGACCTGCTTTAGTCCTGCTTTAGTCCTGCTTTAGTCCTGCTTTAGACCTGCTTTAGTGCTGTAGAGCTGGTTCCATGGAACATGCTTTGTTTACTTCCGTTCCTTCGTCGCATGGTTTTCAGACCAGATGCGCCCTCTGCTGTTCATTGTGTAGAACGTCCTTGGATCCATTAGATAACGTCACACTCACAAAGTCCCGGATGTAGACGTTCTGTGTGGAGACCAGAGAGAGACGAGAGAGAGAGAGACCAGAGACAGAGAGAGACCAGAGAGAGACCAGAATGACAAGAGAGAGACCAGACAGAGACGTAGGTTTCCTCCGGGTACTCTGGTTTCCCCTACAACTAAAAGTATGTACAATAGGTCTGGCATGCGCCTCCTGTTCGGCGACCCTGCTCCCATCTCTGTGTGGAGTGAGAGGACAAGTGCCCAAAAATAACAATTGTAAACCGCTTTGTGACTCTGGTCTGTGAAAGGCGGTATATAAATAAAGATTACTTACTTACTTACTTACTTAGACCAGAGAGAGACAAGTGGAACATTCCAGACCTCTCTCCCTGAGAAACAGATTTACATGTGACATGTGTAAATAGCCTTCCACACACAAGAGACACAGGCATTTTGGCTCTGATGAACCAGGACACAGACAGGCAGTTTAGCTCTGGTGAACCAGGACACGCACAGGCATTTTAGCTCTGGTGAACCAGGATATGTTGAGTTTGGTGGTGGTGTAACAGGAAACAGAATTATCCAATGAATTCTAATGAAGTCTTTTATCCTCACAAGCAGCTCCACACGATGGTTCCAAAAGTCGCCTCAAGAATTCATTTGCAGTAAAACCACATTGGAAAAAACGGTGCAAGACTCCCCCGTGTCTCTTCCGTGTCTCCTCAGTGTCTCCTCCGTGTCTCCTCCGTGTCTTCTCCGTGTCTCCTCAGTGTCTCCTCCGTGCCTCCCTGTGTCTCCTCCGTGCCTCCTGTATCTCCTCCGTGCCTCCTGTGTGTCTCCTCCGTGTCTCCCCCGTTTCTCCTCCCTGTCTCCCCCGTGTCTTCTCCGTGTCTCCTCCGTGCCTCCCCCGTGTCTCCTCCGTGTCTCCCCCATGTCTCCTCCGTGTCTCCTCCGTACCTCCCCCGTGTCTCCTACGTGTCTCCTCCGTGTCTCCTACATGCCTCCCCCGTGTCTCCTACGTGCCTCCTCCGTGTCTCCCCCGTGTCTCCTACATGCCTCCCCCGTGTCTCCTCCATGTCTCCTCCGTGCCTCCTCCGTGTCTCCTCCGTGCCTCCTCCGTGTCTCCTACATGCCTCCTCCGTGTCTCCTACGTGCCTCCTCCGTGTCTCCTACGTGCCTCCTCAGTGTCTCCTACGTGCCTCCTCCTTGTCTCCCCCGTGTCTCCTATGTGCCTCCTCCGTGTCTCCTACATGTCTCCTCCGTGTCTCCTACGTGCCTCCTCCGTGTGTCCGTGTCTCCTACATTCCTCCTCCTTGTCTCCCCCGTGTCTCCTATGTGCCTCCTCCGTGTCTCCTACATGTCTCCCCCGTGTCTCCTACGTGCCTCTTCCGTATCTCCTCCGTGTCTCCTACATGCCTCCACACTTGTCTCCTCCGTGTCTCTTATGTGCCTCCTCCTTGTCTCCCCCGTGTCTCCTACGTGCCTCCTACGTGTGTCCGTGTCTCCTACATTCCTCCTCCTTGTCTCCTACGTGCCTCCTCCGTGTCTCCTACATGTCTCCCCCGTGTCTCCTCCGTGTCTCCTCCGTGCCTCCTCCGTGTCTCCTACATGCCTCCCCCGTGTCTCTTCCTTGTCTCCCCCGTGTCTCCTACGTGCCTCCTCCGTGTCTCCTACGTGCCTCCTCCGTGTCTCCTACATGCCTCCCCCGTGTCTCTTCCTTGTCTCCCCCGTGTCTCCTACGTGCCTCCTCCGTGTCTCCTCCGTGTCTCTTCCTTGTCTCCCCCGTGTCTCCTACGTGCCTCCTCCGTGTCTCCTCCGTGTCTCCCCCGTGTCTCCCCCGTGTGTCCTACGTGCCTCCTCCGTGTCTCCTCCGAATTCATTGGGTATTTCTGTTTCCTGTGCTTCTGCATACTGTATAAATAACCTTTAAAAAAACATGAAAAAAAAGAAGACAAAAAGGCGGTTTTTTGGTCCCAGTCCAGCCCTGGTTTTCCACTGACCCCGCCCCTTTATGTGACGTTAGCCCCACAGGACCCCTCTCCCCCCCATGATGCCAGTCTAATGCCTGGTTCTGGTTTACTATTGCTTTAGTCCTGTTTAGTCCTGTTTAGACCTGGTTCAGACCTGGTCTTTGCTGCAGCATGCGTCTCTGTGCGGTGGTCGTCTTCTTGTGCAGTGAGTTACTTCTTTACACTGTTATAACTTATGTTCCATTGTGTTAAAGCTGAGGTCTGTAACTTTAGTCTAAATAAAACATGTTTAAAGCTGAGGTCTGTAACTTTAGTCTAAATAACACATGTTTAAAGCTGAGGTCTGTAACTTTAGTCTAAATAAAACATGTTTAAAGCTCAGGTCTGTAACTTTAGTCTAAATAACACATGTTTAAAGCTCAGGTCTGTAACTTTAGTCTAAATAACACATGTTTAAAGCTCAGGTCTGTAACTTTAGTCTGAATAACACATGTTTAAAGCTCAGGTCTGTAACTTTAGTCTAAATAACACATGTTTAAAGCTCAGGTCTGTAACTTTAGTCTAAATAACATATGTTTAAAGCTCAGGTCTGTAACTTTAGTCTAAATAACACATGTTTAAAGCTCAGGTATGTAACTTTAGTCTAAATAACACATGTTTAAAGCTCAGGTCTGTAACTTTAGTCTAAATAACACATGTTTAAAGCTGAGGTCTGTAACTTTAGTCTCAGACCTGGTTCAGACCTGGTTCAGGACAGGCTGGGACAGGTCTTATCCTGGATTGTGTGCAGATCTGCAGATCGTCTGTTCTGATGAAGACCATGTGACTCCAACTCCGGACTATGACTACAACGCCACCTTCGACTACTACTATGGTGAGAGACCAGAGAGAGAGACCAGAGAGAGAGAGACCAGAGAGAGAGAGACCAGAGAGAGAGAGACCAGAGAGAGAGAGACCAGAGAGAGAGAGACCAGAGAGAGAGAGACCAGAGAGAGAGACCAGAGAGAGAGAGACCAGAGAGAGAGAGACCAGAGAGAGAGAGACCAGAGAGAGAGAGACCAGAGAGAGAGACCAGAGAGAGAGACCAGAGAGAGAGACCAGAGAGAGAGAGACTAGAGAGATAGACCAGAGAGAGAGAGAGACTAGAGAGAGAGACCAGAGAGAGAGACCACAGAGAGAGACCACAGAGAGAGACCACAGAGAGAGACCACAGAGAGAGACCAGAGAGAGAGACCAGAGAGAGAGAGAGACCAGAGAGAGACCAGAGAGAGACCACAGAGAGAGACCACAGAGAGAGACCACAGAGAGAGACCACAGAGAGAGACCACAGAGAGAGACCACAGAGAGAGACCACAGAGAGAGACCAGAGAGAGACAATACAATACAGTACAATGTATTGTTGTATAGCCCTAGGTCACAACAGAAGTCATCTCAGAGACTTAACAAAACCATTGAAATCACCAACACAGGTCAGAGAATCAACAGTTAAAACACATGAAGAATATAAAGCACACACAGAAGAAAATGTCCATACATGTTGTAGAATGCTAAAGTGTCCTGATCATCACCAATCCTTTCTGTTGGACACTAACTGTCCAACAAGACCCTCCTGCATCCACAAGGAACAACTCTTAAAAAACCCAGTGGGAAAAAGTGAGAAACCTTGGGGAGAACTAGGGAAACCCACAGGGAGGGAGACCCATTTGAGAAAGGGATCCGCTCCTCCGGACGGACAGGCTAATGATCCAGGACCTAAACTAGCTACAGGACGTGGACCAGTGGCCGCTGAACGTGGACAGGTCCGGTGCAGGACCGAAGCACTCCCAGGCGGGTCGGGCGGGGCAGTCCGCAGGTGTAGATGGAGGAGGCCATGGCTCAGAGATCCCGTCATCGTACCATGAAACAGACAATGGGACAACGGGTGAATAGCAATGAACAAACTACAGTCAGAATCCTAAAAGTGCTAAACAGATAAAGTAGATAAAGTAGGAAGGAGGAGAGGATAGTGCTGAAGTTACCATACTTCTCCAGCAGGGGGCTCCCTCTGCAGCTTGACTGACAGTCTGAGGAGTTTAGCCTTCCCTGAGTCTTACCTTCCAAGCCATATGCTAAACTAAAGAGGACTGTTTTAAACCTAGCCTTGAATAAAGAGATTCATGGATTGCACACCAGGTGTGCCAAACCGATCCAGGCTAATTATATATTATATATCATATATATCACATATACCATACATACCATATATATCATATATAATACATAACATAACATACAGCATAATATATAACATAATATACAACATAATACATATATTGTCTAATATATAACATAATACAGTATATATGTACAGTGCCTTGCGAAAGTATTCGGCCCCCTTGAACCTTTCAACATTTTGCCACATTTCAGTCTTCAAACATAAAGATATAAAAGTTTAATTTTTTGTGATGAATCAACAACAAGTGGGACACAATCGTGAAGTGGAACGAAATTTATTGGATAATTTAAACTTTTTTAACAAATAAAAAACTGAAAAGTGGGGTGTGCAATATTATTCGGCCCCTTTACTTTCAGTGCAGCAAACTCAGTCCAGAAGTTCAGTGAGGATCTTTGAATGATCCAATGTTGTCCTAAATGACTGATGATGATAAATAGAATGCACATGTGTGTAATCAAGTCTCCGTATAAATGCACCTGCTCTTTGATAGTCTCAGGGTTCTGTTTAAAGCACAGAGAGAACCATGAAGACAAAGGAACACACCAGGCAGGTCCGAGATACTGTTGTGAAGAAGTTTAAAGCCGGATTTGGATACAAAAAGATTTCCCAAGCTTTAAACATCTCAAGGAGCACTGTGCAAGCAATTATATTGAAATGGAAGGAGTATCAGACCACTGCAAATCTACCAAGACCCGGCCGTCCCTCCAAACTTTCATCTCAAACAAGGAGAAGACTGATCAGAGATGCAGCCAAGAGGCCCATGATCACTCTGGATGAACTGCAGATAACTACCAACCAATTTCTCTGGTCATTGGCTGAACACAAAGAAATAAGTAACAATGTTTTACATTTCCTTAGTGCATTTAATAGCAGCACAAAAGAACCACAGTCCACCTGCAGTGGTCAGCACGCTCACACTAGTGCAGAGCGCACACGGAGCCATAGGCAACGGTCAGTTTAGCCTCACAGTAGTGATAGCTTTGGGTTAGCTTTATAGGTTAGTTTGTAGATGCAGTCACGTTTCACGCAGCTGTTGTCCAATATAAAAGCTGACCAATATGTGCTGACTGATGCATTAGCCACTGCAACTAGCAAGTAAATTCAGTAAAGAACCAAATAATAATAACATTGTATTAACGGGTTCATTGCTCTCAGCAGTGTGTCTGCTTTAGCAGAAATTATTGACAGAAATGAGCGGGATAGGCTGAACCAACTTTTTACAGCAGTCACAATCATTGCAAAAGTGATCAAATCCAAGATGGGTGAATAAGAATTTCCCACTCACCTTAGATTGGCGCCCGAAATCGTCCTGTTGGCGGGGCAACAGTGTCGGTGGGCTAAGGCGCAGTCGTGGAAGAGCAAGGGTGGGGACGGACTCGCTCTTCAAACGGAGCAACCTGGCATAGCCCATTTCAACTTCCATTGAGTTGGCGAAGGAATCACGCGCAAAATGTAGTTTGCAAACTCCAGCGTGAGGAGGGAGTTTGCAGTCTTCTTCCAAACCAATTGCGCGCAGCCACTGGCGCCTAATTTCTAAGTCCGGAGGAAACACATGCAAACCTACAGAACTACAGCACCCCACTACACTACACTTCCTCCCCATCGTAACACACAAGTACAATAAACAATATACAATAGAACTTCACAAGATACAGAACAATAAAAATTATTACTAAAAAAAGTCCTAAGCTAAATTCAGCCCCACTAATCCAACAATAAAAGCAACTAACTAATGACTAAAACTACAATATTAAACAACAACGCAATTTACACGACACAATTATCTATAATACAAACAGTTATGCTAATGAAAATCTATCTAAATGCTAGAACTAATCGCAAACCTGACAATCGTTGAAAATACTCTGCTATTCCTTCTCCAACTCGCTACGGGGGCGTGACCGAGACTGGGCCGTTTATATAGCTCAGGGCGGGGGGCTGCTGTCGTCAGGTCCAACTTGCTGACGTCAGGTCCAACCTGTGCGCCAGTGTTGGCGCCAGATTCAAAATTCAAATGTAGTAACACAGGTCGCCATGAGATGGCGCCTCACAGACGGTTTTAGGCAGAAAGTGGATCTTTCTACTAATTTGCACCAAAGTGACAATATTATGACCAGGATATGTACACAACACTATAGGACACTCATTTATACAGTTTATCAGCAAAAAAAAGTGGATTTGAGGGTGAGTTGTCCTTTAAAGTCACAGACCTGAGCTTTAAGAACAGTTTCCTTGTTGCTGATGGACTTTGAAACACATTAAGTCGTTTAATCATAAACTTGTCTGTGTGTATGTGTATGTGTGTGTGTCTGTGTGTGTGTCTGTGTGTGTGTGTGTGTGTGTGTGTGTGTGTCTGTGTCTGTGTGTGTTGCAGGACCGCAGTGTAATTCTCCGCCGTTGGTTTGATCTTGTGATTCAGAATCAGGAGGATTTGGCAAAAATCATCACTTTTGAGTCGGTGAGTTTTGGGCCAGTGGGTTAGAGTGGGCCAGTGGGCCAGTGGGTTAGAGTGGGCCAGTGGGTTAGACCGGGCCAGTGGGTTAGACCGAGCCAGTGGGTTGGAGTGGGCCAGTGGGGTTTCGCTCATGACGAGTTTCCATCTGTAGTTTAGACTCCGCCCCCTTTACTTTCAGCAGTCAGACCAGAGAGTCCATTAGTGTTTAAGTTCATATTAGCATGTTAGCTAACGTTTACAGTTTAAAACAATCTGCTTTAGCACCTAACTCCTCCTCCCCCTCTACTCCCTCCTCCTCCCTCTCTACTCCCTCTACCCCTCCTCCTCCCTCTCTGCTCTCTCTCCCCCTCTATCTCTCCTCCCTCTCTACCCCTCCTCCTCCCTCTCCCTATACTCCTCCCTCAGGGAAAGCCTCTGGCTGAGGCTCGAGGGGAGGTGCTGTATTCCGCCTCCTTCCTGGAGTGGTTTTCTGAGGAGGCGCGTCGTGTTTATGGAGATGTGGTGCCCTCCCCCAACAGGGACCGCCGCCTCCTGCTGCTCAAACAACCAGTGGGCGTGGCCTCCATCATCACACCTGTGAGTACTTCCTGTGGAGTGTGGCTCCTCACTCTTGGACCTCTCTGACCTCTGACCTCTGACCCTAGTGGAACTTCCCCAGTGCGATGATCACCCGTAAAGTAGGAGCAGCGCTGTCGGCGGGCTGCAGCGTCGTCATCAAACCTGCAGAAGATACTCCTCTGTCTGCTCTGGCCCTGGCTCAGGTACTAGCACCTCCTCCTGATCCTCCTCTGTCTGCTCTGGCCCTGGCTCAGGTACTAGCACCTCCTCCTGCTCCTCCTCTGTCTGCTCTGGCCCTGGCTCAGGTACTAGCACCTCCTCCTGCTCCTCCTCTGTCTGCTCTGGCCCTGGCTCAGGTACTAGCACCTCCTCCTGCTCCTCCTCCTCTGTCTGCTCTGGCCCTGGCTCAGGTACTAGCACCTCCTCCTGCTCCTCCTCCTCTGTCTGCTCTGGCCCTGGCTCAGGTACTAGCACCTCCTCCTCCTGCTCCTCCTCCTCCTATGTCTGCTCTGGCCCTGGCTCAGGTACTAGCACCTCCTCCTGCTCCTCCTCCTCTGTCTGCTCTGGCCCTGGCTCAGGTACTAGCACCTCCTCCTGCTCCTCCTCCTCTGTCTGCTCTGGCCCTGGCTCAGGTAACTAGCACCTCCTCCTCCTGCTCCTCTTTCTGCTCTGGCCCTAGCTCAGGTACTAGCACCTCCTCCTCCTGCTCCTCTGTCTGCTCTGGCTCAGGTACTAGCACCTCCTCCTGATCCTCCTCTGTCTGCTCTGGCCCTGGCTCAGGTACTAGCACCTCCTCCTGCTCCTCCTCTGTCTGCTCTGGCCCTGGCTCAGGTACTAGCACCTCCTCCTGCTCCTCCTCTGTCTGCTCTGGCCCTGGCTCAGGTACTAGCACCTCCTCCTGCTCCTCCTCCTCTGTCTGCTCTGGCCCTGGCTCAGGTACTAGCACCTCCTCCTGCTCCTCCTCCTCTGTCTGCTCTGGCCCTGGCTCAGGTACTAGCACCTCCTCCTCCTGCTCCTCCTCCTCCTATGTCTGCTCTGGCCCTGGCTCAGGTACTAGCACCTCCTCCTGCTCCTCCTCCTCTGTCTGCTCTGGCCCTGGCTCAGGTACTAGCACCTCCTCCTGCTCCTCCTCCTCTGTCTGCTCTGGCCCTGGCTCAGGTACTAGCACCTCCTCCTCCTGCTCCTCTTTCTGCTCTGGCCCTAGCTCAGGTACTAGCACCTCCTCCTCCTGCTCCTCTGTCTGCTCTGGCTCTGGTACTAGCACCTCCTGCTCCACCTCTGTCTACTCTGGCCCTGGCTCAGGTACTAGCACCTCCTCCTGCTCCACCTCTGTCTGCTCTGGCCCTGGCTCAGGTACTAGCACCTCCTCCTCCTGCTCCTCTGTCTGCTCTGGCCCTAGCTCAGGTACTAGCACCTCCTCCTCCTCCTCCTCCTCTGTCTGCTCTGGCTCTGGTACTAGCACCTCCTGCTCCACCTCTGTCTGCTCTGGCCCTGGCTCAGGTACTAGCACCTCCTCCTGCTCCACCTCTGTCTGCTCTGGCCCTGGCTCAGGTACTAGCACCTCCTCCTCCTGCTCCTCTGTCTGCCCTGGCTCGGGTACTAGCACCTCCTCCTCCTCCTCCTCCTCTGTCTGCTCTGGCTCTGGTACTAGCACCTCCTGCTCCACCTCTGTCTGCTCTGGCCCTGGCTCAGGTACTAGCACCTCCTCCTGCTCTTCCTCCAGGTGTAAGTAAGTAAAGTTTATTTATAAAGCGCTTTTCACAGATAAGAATCACAAAGTGCTGTACAGGACAGTGGACAAAGACAAACAATATAATAATAATACATTTACACACATTAGTGAGAACCCAATACACTAAAAGCTTTCTTAAATAAGTACCTCCTGGTCTCGCCACCTTCTCTCTCCTCCTCAGCTGGCAGACCAGGCAGGTGCACCTCCTGGTCTCACCTCCTCTCTCCCCTTCAGCTGGCAGACCAGGCAGGTGCACCTCCTGGTCTCACCTCCTCTCTCCTCCTCAGCTGGCAGACCAGGCAGGTGTACCTCCTGGTCTCACCTCCTCTCTCCTCCTCAGCTGGCAGACCAGGCAGGTGCACCTCCTGGTCTCACCTCCTCTCTCCTCCTCAGCTGGCAGACCAGGCAGGTGTACCTCCTGGTCTCACCTCCTCCTCTCTCCCCTTCAGCTGGCAGACCAGGCAGGTGTACCTCCTGGTGTGGTGAACGTGGTCTCCTGCTCCAGACTCCAGACTCCTGCTGTGGGGAGAGTCCTCTGCACTGATCCTCAGGTCGGAAAGATCTCCTTCACCGGCTCCACGGCAACAGGGAAGGTACACATGCACATGCACACGTACACGCGCACATGCACACATGCACATGCACACGTACACATTTTACTTTTTCTAGCTGTAGATTATTTTTATTCCAGTACAGAGTGTATGGTTTTACACTGATCAGAGCAAAGAGGAGCACGGTCCCAAACGAGCAGATCAAGTGTAAATCAACTGGACAGAAGCAAATATTTTCTAAAAATGCACCGGCAGGATTTCACAAAGTACTCGCGAGATGAGCTCCTTCAGCTACGACGAAGCATCCAATCCCTCTGGAGATCAAGAAGCCCTTCAGAGGATGTCGAGCCGGAGCTGAGAAGAAGGCAAGGAGGTACCATAACCCAGTGGTTGCCAAAGTGGGGTTCCCGACCCCCCGGGGGGTCGCGGGAACCCCTGGGGGGGTCGCAAGATGATTTCTACACAAACAAATTTTTTTTTTTTTGAGCAAATATAAAGCCCTTAAATATTTATTTAGCATTTGATTTGATTCAAAAGGACTACTTGTTAAATTGTGTTTGGAGACTATAATATATTTTAATAACGTTAGTAATTTTGTCCCAGTCATTGCAGCGTCAATCAAAATCATCACGTAACACAGCTCACATCATGCGCAGCGACAAAGCGTGTCCTGCTGTTGTTTGCTAAAACTAAAGGTGTTTGGAGGCTACAAATAAATAATACCTGCTTTAAAATGAAACGTGGTTAATTTCCACAACAGAAAAACCCGGAGGGGGAGAAAAGTCACTTGTATCAGGGGTCAGGCTGATGCGAAGAGAGGGAGAGAGGGCAGAGGAGGGAGAGAGGGCAGCGGAGGGAGGGAGGGCAGCGGAGGGAGGGAGGGCAGAGGTAGAACAGCGCGTTAAAGAGGCCCGGCTTTTCGGAGTCAAAGGTAAAGAGGTCCGCACATTAAAAGCGGGTGGCCGGTTTATGCCTTTACTGACAGTAACTTTGGAAAGAGAAGCCGCGGGGATGAACCGCATAAAGTAACAGCAGAAAGCGGCCGCCCGCTTTTAATGTGCGGACCTCTTTACCGCTGACTCCGGAAAGCCGGCCCACTTTACCGCGGTAGGAGAACAGTGAGGGCGAGCCGCAAGAAATGCGCTCCACTTCTGCTGAGGAGGGAGCCCACCAAGCCCATCACTGTGTCACTACATGAGTAAAAATATGCAAGCCTCCTTTTTTGGGCTGGACAGTGCAGCTCGGTAGTGGCGTGAGTCTGGCGTGGGGGGGGGGGGGGGGGGGGGGGGCATTTATGATGGGGGTCGCAGGCTAAAAAATTTGGGAACCCCTGCCATAACCAACCAATCGTACCATCAATGATAATGGGGAACGTCAACTCACTTCAAAATAAGACCGAGGAACTTGAGGCTTCGGTGAAGTATGATGCATCTCACCAGGACTGTAGTCTTTACCTCCATGACTGTAGTCTTTACCTCCATGACTGTAGTCTTTATCTCCATGACTGTAGTCTTTACCTCCATGACTGTAGTCTTTACCTCCATGACTGTAGTCTTTACCTCCATGACTGTAGTCTTTATCTCCATGACTGTAGTCTTTACCTCCAGGACTGTAGTCTTTACCTCCATGACTAGTCAAAGACTAGTCAAAGACAATGACAAAGACAGTTCTGTTTAGCTGTGCATACAACTGAGGGATTTTATATTTGTATCTTTCTTTTTAATGTTCTGTGATTATTTATGATTTTAATGCTTTCTTGTTTTGTTCAGCACTTTGAATTGCCTTGTGTATGAATTGTGCTATATAAATAAACTTGCCTTGCCTTGCCTTACTAGTCTTTACTTACCTCCATGACTGTAGTCTTTACCTCCATGACTGTAGTCTTTATCTCCATGACTGTAGTCTTTACCTCCATGACTGTAGTCTTTACCTCCATGACTGTAGTCTTTACCTCCAGGACTGTAGTCTTTATCTCCATGACTGTAGTCTTTACCTCCAGGACTGTAGTCTTTATCTCCATGACTGTAGTCTTTACCTCCATGACTGTAGTCTTTACCTCCAGGACTGTAGTCTTTATCTCCATGACTGTAGTCTTTACCTCCAGGACTGTAGTCTTTATCTCCATGACTGTAGTCTTTACCTCCAGGACTGTAGTCTTTATCTCCATGACTGTAGTCTTTACCTCCATGACTGTAGTCTTTACCTCCAGGACTGTAGTCTTTACCTCCATGACTGTAGTCTTTACCTCCATGACTGTAGTCTTTACCTCCATGACTGTAGTCTTTACCTCCATGACTGTAGTCTTTACCTCCATGACCAGGGGTGGGCAATTATTTTTTACAGGGGGCCGCATGAGAAACAGAAAAAGTTGTGAAGGGCCGATAAAAAATGTGAACTCAAATATACATAATATGATTTGAAATTGTTACTTATATACTTATACTTAGTTACACAAGTGACATACAATTGAGGTTGCCTTATAAAAAATGTAGTTCATTTAATAAATAAAATAAATAAAGTTCATTTGAAAGTAATACTAAACAAAAATAGTTTTTCACAATTGTGACAAATAGACTTTTTTTAGTCTACATTTTCAGTGAATGTGCCATAAAGAAACCACAATATTGTTTTTTGTGCTCCAAACCAACCAAACAAAGCAAGAAACATATTGAATTGTTATTGAACATCACAAAACTGATTTTGAAAAAAAAAAGGCTTCCAAGTGTCCCAGGTCACGGCCACTTCCTTTACATGTCTCCTTTTGTAATCTGTCACAAAAGGTGGATGTGGTGTTTAAGTGATTTATTCTCAGTGAGAGAAATGTTGTCTCTGCTGAGCTTTAACAAGTGCATCAAGGTCAGGCTGAGTGTCTGAGGTGGAGATGCGAAGCAAGGCTGACAAATGCTCATCAGTGAGAGAGGATCTATACCTGCATTTTGTGAACTTCATAGTTGAAAATGTCTGTTCGCATATGTACGTAGAACCAAACAGAACCAACATCTTCTGGGCATATCTCCTCATGTTTGGAAAGTTCTCCTCCACAAGAGAGGAGTAGAAATCTAGAAGAGGTGTTGAGTGAAAGTGCTCTGCCAACACTGCATCAGACTGCATCAGACTGCATCAGTCTGCATCAGACTGCATCAGACTGCATCAGTCTGCATCAGACTGCATCAGACTGCATCAGACTGCATCATCAGTCTGCATCAGACTGCATCAGACTGCATCAGTCTGCATCAGTCTGCATCAGCTGCATCAGTCTGCATCAGTCTGCATCAGTCTGCATCAGACTGCATCAGCTGCATCAGTGCATCAGACTGCATCAGATCAGACGCATCAGTGCATCAGTCTGCATCAGTCTGCATCAGTCTGCATCAGTCTGCATCAGTCTGCATCAGTCTGCATCAGTCTGCATCAGTCTGCATCAGTCTGCATCAGTCTGCATCAGTCTGCATCAGTCTGCATCAGACTGCATCAGACTGCATCAGACTGCATCAGACTGCATCAGACTGCATCAGACTGCATCAGACTGCATCAGACTGCATCAGACTGCATCAGACTGCATCAGACTGCATCAGACTGCATCAGACTGCATCAGACTGCATCAGACTGCATCAGACTGCATCAGACTGCATCAGACTGCATCAGACTGCATCAGACTGCATCAGTCTGCATCAGTCTGCATCAGACTGCATCAGACTGCATCAGACTGCATTATCTACACTGCAGGTAAAGGGGGAGGAAAGCATCTTCATCTCATCCTCAATAGTTCTGAGATCTTCAAAACGTCTTAAACTCACCATGCAATGCTTCTAACATGGATGAGTACCTGCGGAGACGATCAGCTGATGGTGTGACTCCTTTCAGTGTTTGCATATGAGTGAGGGAGTTGTTCTCCAGTTGACTTGAGAGAAGTGTCATCTTACTCATGAAAGCTTTCACCAGGCTGTACATTTCATGAACAAAGGCCCTTTCTGTGCAGTTTTGTGTTCAGATCATTAATCAGTGCTGTCACATCAACAGAAAATGCCAAATCTGTGATCCTCATCTCAGAGCTCTGGGAAATCTTTGCCTTTACTTTCACAAAACTCTGAAATCTCTGCTTTCAGGTCCCAAACTCTATTTAACACTTGACCCAGGCTGAGCCACCTGACAGCCACACAGGTAGACAATGTCATTATGCTCAGTGTCTCGCTCCTCCAAAAGTGCAACAAACTGTCTGATTCAATGCCCGTGCCCTGATGAAGTTTACTATTTTAGTAACAACATCAATAACATGGTTCATTTTTAACACTGACTTGCACAAAACATGTTGGTGTATAATGCAATGCAAAAATATAACTTTCTGATCTGCATTCATTTCAGTCACTTTATCTTGAATACGTTTCAAAAGTCCAACATTTTTCCCTGTAAGATTTGGACAACCATCTGTCGTGACACCTCCCACTCTGTCCCATTTTAATCCCAGTGTGTCCATGCACGCATTTACCTCCGTGAACAGATCAGCCTGTGGTCCCTTTCATCGGCCGCACTGCTGCCAGCTCCTCCGTAATCTTGAAGCCGGTTATCCCCACGAACAAATACGAGTAGCTGGGCCATGTCTCGGACATCACAGCTCTCCTTGTCACCGTTCGCCTGGACAGCGGTACTTGTTCAAATGCTCCTTTTTTCTCCGGGCATATTAGCGCAGCAGAGTCCACCAAGCACTCTTTAACAAATTCTCCCTCTGCGAATGGTTTACTGTTTTTGGCAATCTTGTGGGAAATCACAAAGCTGGTCCTCGTTGCTGCATCCCTGGTTGCATAGCGCTTGGTGAAAACGTCTTGTTGCTTTTGCAGTGCAGCTAGCAAAGTTTTCGATGTCCGCGCCATTTCAGCATCAGTTTAAGTTTTTGTATTTCTCTGCGTGCTTCGTCTGGTAATGCCGACATTGTACTCCTTAAACACAGCAACTTGCTCCCCGCAAACTAAACAAACAGCGTTAGCTCCAACTTCAGCAAATAAATACTTAGCAGTCCAATGTTTGTTGAAAATGTATGAACAAACAATGAAACATATTCTGCTGTAGCCAAACAAAGTGTCCAGTTGATTTATATGATATATATGTTCATCTGATTCACAGTGGAGCGTGTTGGTGTTTAGTGCTTACAGCACAGAGAGAGATGAAGAGTGAACAGGACTTCAGCAGAAAAACAGACTTTTCTAGATGGAAATATTGGCACTATTTCAGACTCACTGAGGTTAAAGGTTAACATGTGCACCTCGAGTGCACATTATGTTTCAGAACAAAACGAAAAAGTACCGCAATAGTTACTTTTACTGGTAACTAGTTACTTTTATAGTGGAGTAACTCAGTTACTTTTTGGGAGAAGTAGTTAGTAACTAATTACTTTTTCAAAGTAACGTGCCCAACACTGAGGCACAGAGACACATACAGACACACATACAGACACATACAGACACATACAGACACACACAGAGACACATACAGACACACACAGAGACACATACAGACACACACAGAAACACATACAGACACACACAGAGACACATACAGACACACACAGACACACACAGAGACACATACAGACACACATACAGACACACACATACACGTTTTTGTTACCTGGTGGGTCCCTTTGACAGGGCCGTTCAGAATGGGACCCATAGACATAATCTTTTTTTACTGGGACTACTTTAAGTAATACAAAACAGTCAATAGAAACCAAACAACTATTTTAAAGGAATTTTATTTTAGATTTTGTTTTCGAATTGCAGTGATTCTATTTTTGACATAGAATTTAATGCCACTCCATGTCCGATGTCTAAGGTCATCTGGTGAGGCATTAATGCAGGCCAGGCAGTGAGACTTCCCAGGGACCTTTCCAGTCTGTATGAAAGGTGTCATGGTCTTCTCCACAGCCTTCACCTCAGATGCAGACCATGGCTTTCTTACACGTTCTAGGGAGAGAAATAAAAATATATTAGCAATATACACTCCCAGGGTTAGGACCAAGCAGCCTGGCTGTAATCCCCCACCTGGTACACTTACCAGAAGGGGCACTGCCACTACCATGGGGTGCATCTGGATGAATGGTTGAAGGTTCTCCGCTTGAAGTTTCTTTTAGCCCGTCCGTTTGTGAGAGGATCTCTACTGCTCTCCCTGTCGCACAGAAAATAAAAATACAAGTGGCCTTTAGGGGAAAAAAATCATACATATTTTAATAATATCAAGAATTACCTTCAGGCTCAATTTGTATCTGGTCGAGGCTCTTTCCTTCGAATTCCGTCACTCTTCCCTGCTCCATGGCCATCAACACTTTGCTGATTTTGGCCAGCTCCAGTGTCCCCTCTGGTAGTCTGTAATATTGCCTGTGGATGCGAATGTCATGGCCGAGGAAGTTGGCAAGTATGTCCATCTCATTCTCTTTCATATTGAGAACTGTAGACATAGTAGCTATGTGCTTTCTAAGTTTGGTTGAGGATAGCATCTCTGGATGCACCGCACCACATTCTTTGGCTACCTGGCGTAGGGAGTCTGATCCCCTGATGTGGGTGTCTGCGCCCGGGCGGGAAAAGAAGTATGGGTTATGGTCAGAGATGGAACAGGCCCTTCTGTTCTCCACCAGCACCTCCATCGAAGCAATCATTTCAGGAGTCAAAAGAACCGGCACTTTCCGACTTCTTTTCCCTTTAATTTCAATGCGTTGAAAATGCTGACACAGCTTTTTCTCAAGTTGGGACAGTCCCAGAGCAATGTCAGAATGGATCCCAGTCTTACTTCTTAAGGTAAAGGCTGTCAGTGGCATCTTTGAAACCTCACCTTCCCTTCTTCGATTGAAAATGATCACCTCACAAAGAGTCAAAACTGCCAGTTTAGACCAATGCTTAGACGTTGGCTCACTTATTAGGGTTTGCACATATTCAGGTCGACATACCTCAATATGTGCATGCATGGCTCTAACGTCCTCAGTCAGAGGGAGCAGGTCCGGAGTGTTCCACTTGGCTTGCCGGAGGGTCTGTAGGGCAGCAGAAGAAACACAGACGTCCCACCTCTTCTCAAAAAGCAGCCGGCTTCGTTGGAGGTTTTTAATAAATAGTTCATCAACACAATGCTCCATTTTTGAGTCACATTCAAGAATATCTGCTAGCTTTCTGAGGCTATGGCCGAGTTTGAGGGCCAAGGATGGAGTCTTGTATTGATTTGTTTCCTCATCATATCCAGCCACAGACCTGACTGCATCAATCACATGGTTAAAGTTGGAAGGAATAAAGAAATCCTTAATTGTTTTCAGTTTCCCTGCGGTTTTTGCTTCGTTAATTAACCTACCGACTTCTCTCATTTTCTGCCTAATGTAATCATGCTTAGTCTTATCATGCCCGTGTTTTAAGTACAGGTGCTCTCCGAGTCTCAGAATCCCCTTTTCTGCTTTGACAACACCCGTGACCTCATCCTGATGCATTGCCGAAATTAAAGACCACAGCTTTTTGCTGATGCCCTCCGGTACAGGCTGGGCTAGGGAGCAGAGGGACTGGACCCTACTTCTACCTGGTTTAGCCTGGGCATCTTTCTGTGAAAGCCGGCACCTGGCCACATGCCTCCACAGCGACTTTCGCTTAAGCAATGCCCCACAGTCTATACAGTGCAAAAACTCACTGGATTTAACTGGGCAATTTGGCTGTTTAGCTGGGACTAAAGTTCCAATGCCGGCCTTTAAAACCTCAAAATTGTGCTCACGGTTTCCACTATTCCTGATCAAATCAAACTGAAGTTTACGTGCTTTAGATTTCACAGGTAGAGCCAATGCTCTGGCTACGTCACTTTCATTTCCATGTTTTCTAGTCAAATGACGGGACATTTTGTGGCAGGACATTGAACAGTAGAGGCAGAAGTGTCTCTTGCTGTAAACTCGCCCCCCATTTTTCTTCTTTTGCAGCTGCATGATAACAATCTTATTTGCCTTTGGTTCGTCACTTTCCGAGTCTTGAAGAAAAGTGTTTTTGATTTTTCTTTTTCCATACTTTTTTACAGGTTTCTTCTTGACAGTTAAATCGTCAGAATCTGAGTCGACTTCATCAATTAGGGACTCTTGACTAAGCTGCACAAACAACAAATAATTTGTAATCATTCTATATAACAATTTGAAGTCATGACTTGTAGTCAGCACTTACCAGTGGTTTGTAAGCGTGCGCTTCAGTGTGCTCCTCCATGATTTCTTGCAGCCTAATGAACCACACACTTGCACCTTTTTCTAGCCTGACACCTGATTTCCTCTGTTGTGCTGCTCCATGATTGGCTCCAGCCTGCTGGACTGAAATTGCCCCAGTGTGCCCCTCCTTGATATCCCGCAACCCACCACCAGGGTTCCGACACATAACACACTTTTTTCAGGAAAGTAAACCTCCAGGCGTCCTTTCCATATTTTTACAGAGACTGCATAAGGACCGTTAGAAAAGCATTACCCATTGATTATTAAGCTTGGACCAGTGGGGTCCGGTGTTCGGGCCCCACCACGTAAAACCAGTCCCCATGACGTGAGTGGAATCTCAGGTTATGGAACCCACCAGGAGTTGAAAACAAGTGCACACAGACACACATACAGACACACACAGAGACACATACACACACACAGAGACACATACACACACATACAGACACACACAGAGACGCACACAGACGCACACACACACACACACACACAGAGACACATACAGACACATACAGACACATACAGACACACACAGAGACACATACAGACACACATACAGACACACAGAGACACACAGAGACACACACATTGATTATTGACACGTTCCGTTCACAGCTGCTGTTAAAGATGGCCGCAGACTCTGTGAAGCGTGTTTCCATGGAGCTGGGAGGCCACGCCCCCTTCATCGTCTTCAACAGCGCCGACCTGGACCTCGCTGTGAAGGCCGCCATGGGTTCAAAGTTTAGGAACTCTGGACAGGTGGGAGGAGCTTAGCACAGGTGTAGGAGGGGCTTAGCACAGGAGTGGGAGGAGCTTAGCACAAGTGTGGGAGGAACTTAGCACAGGTGTAGGAGGGGCTAAACACAAGTGTGGGAGGAGCTTAGCACAGGCGTGGGAGGGGCTTAACACGGGTGTGGGAGGAGCTTAGCACAGGTGTAGGAGGGGCCTAGCACAGGTGTGGGAGGGGCTTAGCACAGGTGTGGGAGGGGCTTAACACAGGTGTGGGAGGAGCTTAGCACAGATGTGGGAGGAGCATAGCACAGGTGTGGGAGAGGCTTAGCACAGGTGTGGGAGGGGCTAAGCACAAGTGTAGGAGGGGCCTGTACATTAGCGAACTTCTCTCTGTTTCAGACGTGTGTGTGTTCAAACCGCTTCCTGGTTCAGAGCGGTGTTTATGAGGACTTCCTGGACAGAGTGGGCATGGCCATGGACCGGGAGCTCCGATTGGGCCATGGGATGGAACCCACCACCACACAGGGTCCACTGATCAACCAGAGGGCGGCAGAGAAGGTGAGAGACCCCTGAGGAGAGAGAGACCCCTGAGGAGAGAGAGACCCCTGAGGAGAGAGAGAGACCCCTGAGGAGAGAAACCCATGAGGAGAAATAAATAACGCTGGCCCCTCCCCTGAAACATGTGCAGTGTGTGGAGGCCTCTGACCTGTGACCCCGCCCTCTGAATCTGACCCCTGACCTCTGACTCATGATTCCTCTCCTGCAGGTGGCGCTGCAGATCTCAGACGCTGTGAGTCGAGGAGCGCGGCTTCTCAGAGGAGGCTCCCAATTGGATGGTTCCTTCGTAGAGCCCGCCCTCCTCGCTGATGTCACCACCGACATGAGCTGCACCAGAGAAGAGACCTTTGGCCCCGTGATGCCGGTGCTAAGGTCAGGGGCCACTAGAGCTGACCTTAGAGCTGACCTTAGAGCTGAGATTAGAGCTGACCTTAGATCTGACATTAGAGCTGACCTTAGATCTGACATTAGAGCTGACCGTAGAGCTACATTAGAGCTGACATTAGAGCTACATTAGAGCTGACATTAGAGTGTGGTGTGCTCAGGTTCCAGGTGGAGGAGGAGGCCGTGGCCATCGCTAACGCCTCAGATGTGGGACTCGCAGGTACTTCACACTTTAACCTTTTATGTATCTACAGGTCCCTGTGAGTCAGTATGTCCCTGTGAGACAGTATCTACAGGTCCCTGTGAGTCAGTATGTCCCTGTGAGACAGTATCTACAGGTTCCTGTGAGTCAATATCTACAGGTCCCTGTGAGTCAGTATCTACAGGTCCCTGTGAGTCAGTATCTACAGGTCCCTGTGAGTCAGTATCTGCATGTCCCTGTGAGTTAGTATCTACAGGTCCCTGTGAGTCAGTATCTGCATGTCCCTGTGAGTTAGTATCTACAGGTCCCTGTGAGTCAGCATGTCCCTGTGAGTCAGTATGTCCCTGTGAGTCAGTATCTGCAGACCCCAGCTTTAAAGTGCTTGTGTCTGCAGGGTTCTTTAAAGTGCTTGTGTCTGCAGGGTACTTTAAAGTGCTTGTGTCTGCAGGGTTCTTTAAAGTGCTTGTGTCTGCAGGGTTCTTTAAAGTGCTTGTCTGCAGGGTTCTTTAAAGTGCTTGTGTCTGCAGGGTACTTTAAAGTGCTTGTGTCTGCAGGGTTCTTTAAAGTGCTTGTGTCTGCAGGGTTCTTTAAAGTGCTTGTGTCTGCAGGGTACTTTAAAGTGCTTGTGTCTGCAGGGTTCTTTAAAGTGCTTGTGTCTGCAGGGTTCTTTAAAGTGCTTGTGTCTGCAGGGTTCTTTAAAGTGCTTGTGTCTGCAGGGTACTTTAAAGTGCTTGTGTCTGCAGGGTTCTTTAAAGTGCTTGTGTCTGCAGGGTTCTTGAAAGTGCTTGTACTTTGTGCAGGGTACTTCTTCTCCTCAGACGTGTCTCAGATCTGGCGTGTGGCGGAGGCCCTGGAGGTGGGCATCGTGGGGGTGAACGAGGGCCTGGTGTCCTCCCCTGAGGGAGCCTTTGGGGGAGTCAAACAGTCTGGGCTCGGGAGAGAGGGCTCTAGGTACGGCATCGACGAGTACCTGGAGGTCAAGTATGTGTGCTTCGGAGGACTGAGGCCTTGAGGACCCACAGGGACTGAGGCCTTGAGGACCCACAGGGACTGAGGCCTTGAGGACCCACAGGCACTGAGGCCTTGAGGACCCACAGGGACTGAGGTCTTGAGGACCCACAGGGACTGAGGTCTTGAGGACTCACAGGGACTGAGGCCTTGAGGACCCACAGGGACTGAGGTCTTGAGGACCCACAGGCACTGAGGCCTCTCTGGTCTCTCGCTACTCTTTCTCTTGGTCTCTTTGGTCTCACTCTGGTCTCTCTCTGGTCTCTCTGGTCTCTCTGGTCTCTCTAGTCTCTCTCTGGTCTCTTTGGTCTCTCTAGTCTCTCTCTGGTCTCTTTGGTCTCACTCTGGTCTCTCTGGTCTCTCTAGTCTCTCTCTGGTCTCTTTGGTCTCACTCTGGTCTCTCTCTGGTCTCTCTGGTCTCTCTAGTCTCTCTTTGGTCTCTCTCTCTACTCTCTCTCTGCTCTCTTTGGTCTCTTTGGTCTCACTCTGGTCTCTCTTTGGTCTCGCTCCGGTCTCCCTCTGGTCAGATACGTTCGTCTATTTTAACCTGTTTTATAATTATATACATGTCGAGGCTGGAGCCAACTCATGCTAAAGCTAATTCATGCTAAAGCTAACTGTAAACAAAACATCTAATGCTACCTGCTCTACATTACTTCTGTTTTTTAGTTTAAAATTGTACCTTAACTTAACCTTTGTTTATGTTAGCTGTCCAAACTAAAATAAGCATTAGCATAGCATTAGCTAACCTTATAAAACTTCTTTGTCCTGTTGCCATTCCTTCTTTGTCCTGTTAAAGTGAGAACAGCCCTAAAACAAACATGCTAATGTTAGCCTGAACAAACATGCTAACGTTAGCTTGAACAAACATGCTAACGTTAGCTTGAACAAACATGGTAACGTTAGCTTGAACAAACATGCTAACGTTAGCTTGAACAAACATGCTAACGTTAGCTTGAACAAACATGCTAACGTTAGCCTGAACAAACATGCTAACGTTAGCCTGGGTCTGAATCTCAAACATAAGCACAAGAGACGTTTTTCTAGTTTTACTTTTGTATCAAACACCTGTGACTTTTTTAATGTTTGTATTAATTTATTTTGTCTTTAAAACTTTAATAAGTTTAAGTTTAAAGATCCTAAAGTGCCGTCTGTATTTTTGTTGGAAAATAAAAGTGAATCATGACTTAAAATGTGGATTGTTTTGTTACTATGGGAAACCAGTGGGAACTTTGCCTCCTGTACATGGTCCAATGGCACAGAACAACAGCCATGCTTCAGACTGTCCCAGGGCAGCTGCGGCTGCAGTAGCACCAGACACACAAGACACAGGCCTTTCAGCTGCTCAGTCTGCGACAACTCTGACCGAGTCTACAGTGTCCTGACAGACTCCACAGTATCCTGACAGTGTCCTGACCGAGTCTACAGTGTCCTGACAGACTCCACAGTATCCTGACAGTGTCAGACTCCTGAAAGACTCTACAGTGTCCTGACAGTGTCCTGACCGAGTCTACAGTGTCCTGACAGACTCTACAGTATCCTGACAGTGTCCTTACAGACTCTACAGTGTCCTGACAGAGTGTACAATGTCCTGACAGACTCTACAGTATCCTGACAGTGTCCTGACAGAGTGTACAATGTCCTGACAGACTCTACAGTATCCTGACAGTGTTCTGACAGAGTCTACAGTGTCCTGACAGACTCTACAGTGTCCTTAGACTCTACAGTATCCTGACAGAGTCTACAGTGTCCTGACAGAGTCTACAATGTCCTGACAGACTCTACAGTATCCTGACAGTGTTCTGACAGAGTCTACAGTGTCCTTACAGACTCTACAGTGTCCTGACAGAGTCCTGACAGAGTCTACAGTGTAGACTGTAGGAACACTAGTCCAAGATGGCCACACGCGCTCTAGCCTTTATTGTTTGCTACGCCGTGAGTGCGCATGCGCCTAGTCTGATGTGCACAGTGGCTTCAAGGTGAGTCCAGCCAATAGACTGTAAATCAGACGCCTGTCCCCGGGTTTAAAGCCTCGTTACGGGAAATGGCTGAGGTGGCTGAGGAGCAGGAGGAGCAGGACGAGTGGGAGCCCAAAGAGGATGAGCCCGGGTGAGTCTCAGCCACCAGGGGACGCTATCTGGTGTGAGGGTTCAGTCCCGGCTCCAGGTTCAGGCAGAGGAGACACAGGGACAGTCGGGGGGACATGGATCTCTCGGGGGACAGTCCCGAGAGACAGTCCCGAGAGACTGGGCACATGTGGGGGGCTCTGAAAGAGGAGCAGAGCCGTCAGTTCAGGAGGTAAACACAGCTCTAGAGAGCGCCTGCGGCTGTTGTCGTCGTGACGGTGGCGGCCATTTTGTGAGTTGACGAAAGATTTTACTAGAGTTTACGATGAAGCGTCTTTTGAAAACTAGTGGTTGTGATGAGTTTAGTTTCTCGTGTAGATTTATTTTGTTTGTTCTGAGTTTTAACTTTTTTTGTTTCATTTTCATTGCAGTGTGTGGGAGCAGCTCAAACTGGACCCTGACCACAGAGGTGAGACCAGAGACCGGACCAGAGACCGGACCAGAGACCGGACCAGAGACCGGACCAGAGACCGGACCAGAGACCGGACCAGAGACCGGACCAGAGACCGGACCAGAGACCGGACCAGAGACCGGACCAGAGACCGGACCAGAGACCGGACCAGTTGTAAATCACAACTGGATTTGTCGCTGACGCTGCTTCTGTTTTTGTGTGTTCAGGTCTGAGTCTGAAGATCAAAGAGGAACTAGAGGAGCAGACGATTGAGTCTGTGCCAGTGATTGTGTCTGTGCGCAGTGACGCACACGCCACAGACGCACACGCCAAAAATGCACATGCAACAGGCGCACACGCCACAGACGCACGCGCCATAAACAAAGACGCCACAGACGCGCACGCCACAGGCTCACAGGCTATAGACGCACATGCCACAGACGCACACGCCACAGATGTCCATGCCACAGGCGTACATGCCACAGACACTTACGCCACAGACGCACACGCCACTGACGCTTACGCCACAGACGCACACACCACAGACGCACACGCCACAGTCACCATCTTGAAGCAACGCCGTGATGAGCATGGAGATGAGGAGCTGTTCTCCTCAGACACAGACGACTCCGAGGACTGGACCGTAGGCGACAGCGGCGCGCACACAGGGAAGCACCGGAAGGAGGCGGGGCTAAAGAGCTGCTCTCACTGCGGTAAAGGCTTTCCCACCAACAAGCGGCTGCGCAGCCACGAGCTCACGCACCTGGAGCAGAAACCCTTCAAATGCGCGGTGTGCGGCCGCGGCTTCATCCGCAGCTGTAAGCTAAAGGTGCACATGCGCGTGCACACGGGCGAGAAGCCCTTCAAGTGTCCTGTGTGCGCTAAAGCCTTCAGGATCAAGGACCACGTGAACCTGCACATGCGCATCCACACAGGGGAGCGACCTTTCAGCTGCTCCATCTGCCAGAGGAGCTACACGCAGCGCCAGAGTCTGAAGATGCACATCCTCACGCACAAAGGCGACAAGCCACACAAGTGCACGCTGTGCGACAAGCGCTTTGCAGAGAAGAAGCGCGTGAAGCTGCACATGCGTGTGCACACCGGGGAGCGGCCCTTCACCTGCGGCGTGTGCGGGCGCCAGTTCACAGAGAAAGGCCACTTAACACAACACTCAAAGATCCACACAGGAGAGCGCGACTTCCCCTGCGCCCTCTGCTCCAAGGCTTTCAAGGTGAAGACGCAGCTCACCACACACATGCGCACGCACACGGGCGAGCGACCTTACAGCTGCTCCGTGTGCCGAATGGCTTTCAAGCAGAGCGGCGGTCTGAGCGAACACATGAGGAGCCACACCGGCGAGCGACCTTACAGCTGTTCCGTCTGCTCCAAGACGTACGTGCGCAGGAAGTCTCTGCTCAAACACAGGCGCCTGCACTCAGGGCTGACGTGCGGCGTGTGCGGCCAGGCGTTCGCAGAGAAGAAGTCTCTGGACTTCCACACCAACATCCGGCACACGGGCGCGCGCCCCTTCCACTGCGCCGTCTGCAACAAGGACTTTGTGGCCGAGTGGTGGTTTCTCAAACACATGCGCGTTCACACCGGGGAGAAGCCTTTCAGCTGCTCCTTCTGCGCCAAGAACTTCCGCACGCGCTGCCAGCTGCAACGGCACGCCAAGGTGCACACGGGGGAGGGGCCCTTCAGCTGCGGCGTCTGCGGCAGGCAGTTCTCCTCAGAACCAGGTCTGAACATCCACAAGAACCGACACGCGCCGCAGGGGCCTCTGGACTGCGGCGTCTGCGCTCAGCAGCTGCGCAACAAGAGCGCCCTGAGGCGCCACATGGACCAGCACCAAGGAGAGCGCCTCTTCAACTGCTCTGTGTCCCTGACTAGGGTCCAGACCGGACTCTAGACCGGACTCTAGACCGGTGTTCTGTGGAGTTGGTCTGCCCGTCGAGATGATCTCCCTCAGCTGTTAATGATGTAATGCAAACCAGTGCGTCTCACAGCAGCTGAAGCAAACCAAGATGGTGGACATGGAGTCTGCGAATTGCTTTAAAAGTTAAATACAAACTAATTAAGACACGAATGTCTCTTTTAATGCAATTTGAGGCGAGATGTTGATGGTTCCGTGTTGATGGTTTCGTGTTGTCATGTGGGTTTTGAGAGTAAGAGTTTTGTGTAAAGTTTGTTTAAAGCAGTCATATTGACTCCTGTGAAACTACACTGCTGCTGTGCCCAAATCTGACTTGTGCATGCGCAGAAACCCGACAGAACTGGGAAAAAACTCGATCTAATTAAATATTTTGTTTGAACACACTATTGTTAATCATATTGAATACAGTATGATACATGCATTCAATTTAATTTATTATTTCCATTATCAACCCGACAGACCAGTCACAGACCAGTCACAGACCAGCCACAGACCAGTCACAGACCAGCCACAGACCAGTCACAGACCAGCCACAGACCAGTCACAGACCAGTC